TCTTTAAATTACCTGGTGATAAATTTGCATTTGACCTGCAATCACGAATTTGCGTTGTCCGCCTCAGGCTTTTATTTTTGCTCTCTTCAGAAATTATTACTTTGGTTGATATTTGTTTTATGTTTCAGACAGTCTTTAACTATGATCATCCTGCTTTGACTTCGTGTTTGAACATCTACATCAGAACCTCCTTGTTTACAAATGAAACTATCGAGGAACACAAAGGCTTCCACTCATTTTAGAATTTCACCTTGAAGCGTGATTTGGTTAGCGTTCATTGTGTCGTGCTCTATTATCGTGCTTTTGTCATGAGAAAAGGTGTAAGCATTCTTGCAACGAAGTTACAGCTTGATTTTCAACTTTATTCTGCGTCCGTTTCTCTGTATTAAACGTAAGGGCTGAATAAACAGAAAAGTACAAATCTTCCAGCTAATTTCAGGGTTTCCATTGTACTACATACTGTAGAATCCATTTGAACGTTTCGTGTGTGAAAATCCCTCCATACATACATCCATGGCTTGTTCTCAATGTTTTTGTTGTTTGTACATTATTGTTAGTATTTTTTGATACCATTTTGTATTGTGGTGTTTCATTTCATGATAGTTTGCTCTGTTTCTTCTGTTGCTTTCATTGGGTTTCTATATTCTTCTTGAACTGTATACAATTTGTTTTAATTGCTATTATTCTGGCGGCAGCCATATTAACTGCTCGCTCTTTGATTGTGCGGTTTGATTTTGACTGGTATCGTGCATTTTTGGTTGTAATTTGGAGCACTTCCTCAGAAATTGAAACACTTTGTGTTATAAAACAGCCGCTCAAACGGGATCTTACTTGATCTATCCAGAAAGGATAGAATAACGCTTACCTTTTGGTGTTTTCGGTAATTTTTCATATATTTCTTACCACTTTGCTATTTATTGTAATTTAGATTGAATATTTTGGTATCAATTGTCGGTTGAATAACTGAGTAATAATATTTGTTTAGGTAAATTTGTACATTTGTATATATGACGAAATTTAGAACCGTTACTACATCAAACACTTTGTTTTGATTTCAATTGAAACGAGTCTCTAAACTTTTACTGTAGTTATTCAACCACATCCAGACCTATTAGAATTTAGGTTTGGATCTTACACATACTTCTTCTAAGTCATCATAAGCCATTCAACAGCCAGGAGCGACAAAGATGAAGGTATCCAAACTTCTCAGGCGTCAGGTTTTATTTGGAATAGTGTAGTGTTTATATTCAAATGATTCCTTTGTACTTGATGACTGCTTGGTTTCGAATCCGAAATACAATACATTCGTTCGTGTTTATCTAGTACTTTTTGATTAAGGTGCCTTATTTCTGAAATTCCCAATCTATACTATAATTTACTTACTCCTAATTATCAAATTGGCGTCGCGATAGAGCCTGCGATGGAACATTTGGACATTCATTCATCCTCTGAAGTTTTTGAGGATTATTTTGAAAGGATTAAGACATGGAAAATGACCAAGAAAGATGTGAAGGGTGATAAAATTATGGCACATTTTCTTCCATCGATCGGTAAGGGAGCCTACAGTTTACAAAAATATTCGGCATATCCAGAAAAGCCTTTCAAGGAACTACTGTTAAATCACGTAAAGTGCACCATTTTTGAATGTCGTGTGACAGCAAAATTTTATAAGACGATTCGTTGGAATAACCGCAAAGTTAGGGAATTCATTTTTGAATTGCAAAGACAAGCCACCAAATGCAATTTCGGTGATCATCTTCATGTGCAGATGAGAGATCGATTAATTGCAGGAATTAGCGTATCGGATCAAGAAAAAAAGCTTTTAAGAGTGTCAAACTGTCCCTTTCAAGAAAATAGAACCACATGTAATAACTACGAAGCAGTGAATGAACTTGATATCTAGTCGATGGAAATTTCTAATACTTTGCTCAGTCGTCATGATCAAATACAACCTCAGGGTCGATCAAACTTGCTTACGTTTAATAGTGATTCCTATTCTAGTGGAAATATGAAAGGTGATTCAACAAGGAATCGCAAAGCAAACAACAAAGAATGATTGGTTCTTATAAACACTACAAATACTTTTGTAAAATCTCCGTGGATGATTTCGCTACTCAACTCCTTATAATAGAGCTATATGATTGCTTAGAACTTACCCTGTACTCAAAAAAGTTGATGAAAATTCCACAAGGTTTTCCTATCTAAAATGTCCAACAATTTCTTGTAGGCGAAGAAGTCTATGTGCAGCGACAAATTCCATCCTACCACTTTTTCGACCCTGATGAACAGTGGGAAGATCTGAACTGTGAACAGTCGATCCTAATGAATGCCAACTTGCTGTTATCAAATCCGGCTCAGCCTCGCAGACGTAGCCGTTCTGTGAAATGAAATATATTATTCTATCTTTAGCCTAAATGTGCCCGTTACAAACGCCAAACATTATCTCACGGGTTGTTACGATATGAAGAGTCAGAATGGAAAATGATGTAACTTGCACGTTAGGTCTTATAGATTAGGCAGTCACAACATGACGTATCGACATTTTTACGATTAAGTCTATCACTATAATAGTACTAATAATGAAGTAGACCTATACTTCTTCCTCAAAATTAGGGACTGAAAGATTCCTATAATTATTAATTCTGTTCTGCTAATCTTTCCAGTCATACCGGATAAATCCACTTCTGGAGGTGCCTATTTAATTATCTTCACCAATTCACGTTTGTGTACACAGCTTAACTAATCTTCAACATTTTCGAAATATAACTTTGAATCCCTTTGTTCCTTACTTCTAGTTCGACTTGCTTTTGGATCCTCGGTTAACATGGCGTGACAAACAAGAGTGTTGTCCTGCACTGTATATCCGTAACATATATGTCGGATTTCGATGGTATGCTTCTGAGCCTTAGCTTTCCTGTACTTATTCACGTGTTGGTGACTGTAGTCTTCCTCATTTTTTTTTAACTGATCATAGGTGAGGATCTCTTCAGAAGTTTGTTCCCTATCCTAATGCTTCTTGAGGTCGCATACCTCCCAGAATTTTGAAGGTGTCTATGAAATTTTTTATTAAATCAGCGTTCAATAGATGTTTCACAGAAACATCTAGAAAGTAAAGGGTCACGTGTTACATTTCTAACCGGATGATGAACTATGCCGATACTATTCTTATCATAGTTCTGTAAAATTCCAGATACTCAGAATCATCTGAAATACGCAATAAATTTGTATTAGAGTGACCTTTTCCCGCTTCACGCCGTTTCTCTCGTGTTCAAGTTGTCTTACAGATTTTACCTGGAGTTATTAGAAGGGTTTATGGAACCGATTCCAGAGTTCAATGTAAGATTTATGCTAATCTATCATTAATTACCTTTAATAAATACTACTAATTTTCGTTTTCTATCATTATCGTATTACTTGTAAGAATTCAAACTTGCAGCGGATATTTATCCTGATCTAAAGCTTTCTTAGCACTCTGTCCCATGAAGTCTTCCAATACTTTCCGAATTCTTGCTCATATAGAGATCATGGCCTGGTATTCCTTAGTATGGTACGATAAATCCTTTATAGCTTTGCATATGTTAATGGAGGGGATAATCCTGTTGCTTATAATCCTCTTGACTACATACGGATCTTCTTATCTTTTGTCATCCTCGTTTATTTTTCTTAGTCAATGTTTCTCCATGATGTATCAATACTTAATGTTCTCCGTCCTGACTTCAGTGTCAAGATACCTTGTAAGGATGATGTCACGGTAAATAAATCCCAAAAACAAACAATCATGTACACCTTTGACAATGATTCTGACCTCATTGGTTTCACTGGGTACACCTAGCTGAAGGCGCTGGATTACACATCTCAGATAGACCAGAAGTCGATACGCCATGCGACGCCAACTTTGTGACTACTAGCCAACTTAAGCCAAACGCTTATCGACACGCCCATAGCTTTCAAAAATATATCTTTAAACCCCTTCATTTCTGGCGTATGACTGGAATGATTTGATATAATTCAATTATGAAGTTTTTACGTGCGAAAGCGTCGTCAAACTCAGAAAACTTGTAACTTCTTAAATGGTATTGTTTCTTCGTGAAATCTCAACGATGGAGTGCAACATCTCATGAGACTGATCTTCGTCGTCATTATTGTTATGCTTTTTTTCAATATGTAGCCTGAGATGACGTTCGCTGAAATCATCCTCCTTACTACTACGAAGAATTATTTGATGATGTGATTCGTACATTTATGTAGACAGTCAGTGGACATCCATGATGAGTTGTACATTAATTTTTATAGCATTAAATTAGTCTTTATTCTCGGAATATTGAGAAGCAAATATAACCCATCCTTTTTGCAGCACAGGAAACAGAACTTAAGCAGTAGGAAATGTGAACTGTTTAATGTCTTTGAATTCTCGACCTTGAGCGCGATAATATAAACGCGGATAGTTTGTTAGGTGTGTGAAGATGTCAGAAGGAAGTGCTTCTAACGACGGAGTGAAAAAGACGCTGCCTCCTAAACAAACATTTTTGTCACTCTCTTGGGATTACTTTAAGTTGTTTCTGACATGCGCTTCCATTTACGGCGTAGGATACTTTCGACTTAGTACTACCTGGGTCTTGATCGGTTCGCTTGGATATTTCGTCTTGCAACATACTAAAAATAAGCAATCAAAGTTAATAAGTTCACTTAAAGCTATTGGAGAAGATGAAAAAGCATTTATAATCCAAAATTTTACCGTAAGGGACCTTCCATCTTGGGTAGGCTTAATATATCAGTGAAATTTTATAATGTAAATTATTTACTAAGGTTTACTTTCCAGATGTTGAAAGAGCGGAATGGTTAAACAAAGTAAGAAAGTCTAAAAGTGAGATACTTTGCTAGGTCATTAAACGAATGTGGCCATCCATTAGTGAGTATGCGAGAGACATTATCGTTGCATCTATCGAGCCTGTCGTTGCGCAAAATTTACCAACTGCATTAACACCGTTTAGTTTTGCTACTATTGACTTAGGTGACACGGTAAATGAGCTTCATCAGTTATCTGTATCGTAGCCCCCCAGAATCGGTGGAGTGAAAGTGTATATGAATGAAAACATCAGAAAGGATGAAATCGTTATGGACCTAGACCTTATGTAAGTACTGTTTTATTTAATACTTGCACAGGCTTTACAGTGATGCTAGAATCAAAGTAAACTTAGGAAAAGTCAAGGCAGGAGTGAAGGAGTTTGAGGTATTTTTTAATAATTCATATCTTTCGGGTTATATATCCCTGTATATCTACAAATTTAGTCTAAATGGCATGTACCAAGTGTATGGCTTTTTAACTAACTAATCTAAATGCCTCTAAATCGTTTTGCGATTTTATATCTTAAGCTGAATAGCTCAGGGTGTCCGTTTTTTTCGTTTTCCAACCAAAATGCTTTTCACTGATTCAGTTATTGATCCTAATGCTGTTTATTTGATTGCCAACCTAGTATATAACTATCAAACACTGTTTTACTCAGTAAGAGTTGAATCTACAGGTAGTTTGTAGTCTGGAGGAACGCCAGTTTTTCCTTTTATACTAAACGTCAGGAGGACTAGAGGTTCCCTTAAAATCGTACTACCTTCCAGAGATCATTAGGGCTTTGTCTAAGTGTTCTTATGGTATACAAAATGCGTTTTTGCACCGAATGAAATGAGATAATTTTGACGAAAGTCGAATTATCCTTTCACGAAAACTAGATTCAAATCAATTTCTCACTGCTATGGTGTCGCCCTCTGAAGTAGTGACAAACAGCAACACACAAAGTTTAGCTAACGAACAACACGACTTTGGTAGCCTCAAGCATATTCCATCTACTCCAGCTAGTTTAGGTTTCAAGTTCGTTTAGTAAATGGACCTGAAAAAGTCGTCCTATATTCTTTAGGTCTTGCAAAAAATAACTGTATAATACTCCTCCTTTTTGAAATCTGTCTTCGGTAACTGTTGAAACATCTCGACACAGTCCTGTGTTACAACACTTCGACTTTTATCCAGCTTATAAACAAAAATAGGCATTTTAGACATCTTGTAGAATCGAAACTGGTGTTCTTTTTAAACATTCTAAAGTTAACTTTATTGCGAGTCAATTGTATTCTCTGGTTTTACAGTTTTTATACTCAAGGGCTGACTAAATTTCTATTAGATTGTTCAGTGTGTTTGGTTTACTTGTAAATTTCCTGAGTCTCGTTGGTAATTTCAAGCATAATCCTGTGGATACTCCCATCACGAGATTAGTGGAAGTATTTATGCACACCAATACAATTATGTCGGGCATATTGCTATTCTTAAATACTATCCTTAGTATAATTAATTCCAAAGCGACAACCAGTGTGCAAAGAATGGGTATTTTAACAAGTATCGAATCTAGTTTCCCAAACTGTTCAAAATAACAAGAAATGGACTCCAAATATATATTGTACTTAAATTAAGGTTGTAAAAGTGCAATAAGTCCTCTTAGCTCCCTCCAACAATTCGTGGGCTAATCATAACCCTTCATAATTTGGTGACTTGACTCTCAAGCTTGAATGCAGTTTTGAAGTAAAATCAGATGTTTAAACTTGATGTGGTGAGACTATAAGTTATGGATGACCTTTGAGCGATGTTAAGGTAACCATGAGAATGTACACTTACTAACTAGGACCAAATGAGGGTTATAAACCAGGGTAAGAAACTAGAATTAGGATTTACGGTTAATGGTTATGGTCAGGGATTAGATTTATGGTTTTCGTCACGAACTAACATCAGCTATAATGGCAAAATGACAACCAAATGTATGGATAAATTTCGCCCCAAAATCCAAGACTCGTTATCTTATGTCTGATTAGTTCGTCCATAAAATATAGTCTCGCCACTACTGAACCGATGTTCAGGGGTAGTGCTGGAAATCAGATACTAGCTAAAATAATCTTTGAGCTAGACTTTTTTGATTCTTTAGGAAAGTTTTTCTCAATGTCTACAGTTGGATAGTAAATAATAATGCTGTCATTCCTAAAACTAAAACCATATATTTATTATATTCCATTCAATTGACTAATGAAATATTCTTCATTTTCTATCTTTAATTTATTTGCAATGTAAGCTGCGTGGTACACTACGTGTCGTTATGAAGCCTTTAGTTCCGAAAGTCCCGTTCGCTGGTGCGGTTACCGTGTGCTTTTTGGATAGTCCAGTCAGTATTTATTGGTAGATTTCTTTCATTTACGTACAATTTCAAACTTGTAGCATTCCACGTGCAGTCACGAATAAGTTGTTTAGACACTGCCTTTTGACTATTTGGCTCACTGGTTCTGTATTTTAAGAAAAAAACCTAAAATTCCTTCTGTAATTTACCTTGTATCTAGCTGAAAATAATTTTAGCTTAACATTCTCCCCTTTAACTAATATATTTACAGCGGTCATTTTTATTGCTGGCTAGTACGATTTAATCGAAAGTCATAATTAAGAAAAGGACTACCGAAAGAAATCCCTCCCGAATTTCATTTCGAACACCATAAGGGGATCTTACTCGGCTCCATAAGGATGCAGTTTCATATATTGGTAGGTTTTTGTGGAGAAAATGAATACACTACCTTGAAATCATTTGCAGACAGAAAACGTTTACCCAAGCTGATTCAGTCTTAGTTATCGTTTATAAAAGCTAAAAAGAGCACAAGATCTAAGGCCTTTCAATACACTATTTGTGACTAGATGGGATGCCAACAGAGATAACTTCGTTTCATCTTCTTGACGTTTATGACGAAGAAGAGATTCAAGGCACCTACTCACCGAATCCTTGACGCTGAGATATTAGTCTCCCGCTAAGAAACTGACGTCCAATACTAAGTTCAAAAAAGAGTGATTTAAAGGTGTCAAAATTACAATTATATAAGACTTAAATTTAAGGAAGCTATATTACGAACTAGTTATAAGTTCCCCAGCTAGTAAATAATCAGAAATTTCTTGAAGTTCAGTTTTTTCCATTGATCTATAGATCTCCACATGCCTGTGGTTGTGCAAGTCATCTCGAGATTTGAAAACGGTATTGTATATATGGTTTCTAGCTGTTGGGATAAACGCTTGCTTTCAGAGAAGCTTAAACAGTTTTGGTAGACGTACTAAAATATCATGTCCGATACAAATGAAGTAAATGGATGCGATTCCTACCATTCTATGGTCCCTTAAAACCTAAACGTAGGTTACGGCTCTACCGATTTGGAAATAAGTGAAGGAAAATATTGTTTGTAGCTAATACTTTTGTGTATGACTTCTGATCTCATGTTATCTAGAGGTTCATAATTAGTTACAAGCATATTACTGGTAACGTTGCCAATGGTCGTAGTATCAGTTATAAATACACCGTCATGCACGATACAAGGATTATTTGTTTTTATGACAGTCAGTATTTATTGAATATAAAACTAAATTTTGTACTCTGATTCTATCGTTTAGTACTGATAACTCTTCGTTAATGTCTTTTAACCTATAAGCTTCTTTAATTTGGCTGAAAACTACAGTAGCTGGAAATAGGCCACATAACTCTGGCTTATCACGAGTATTATGATCAACGAAATTTTGTATATTGGGATGCAGGATTTCAATAGCCTTTGTTAGCATCAAATACTATTTCCGAAACTGTATTAGTTTGAATTAGGAGTCGAGTAGCGATAGCATTTATAGGAAAATCAAGTTATATTTATTTGTTATGTTTAATTATTACTTCAGTTTATCTGAATAAATGCATACCAATTTACAAAGTTTACTAAATCAGACTGTCCCATAGAATTTATAAAGATAGAGAGAAGCTCCTGTAATTTGGACGTTCAAATCACCACCATATTCTTTATCTAAAAAATAAATGCCTCATAATAAATCTTTCTGTAGACAGTAAAAGATATATTGGGAATTAATAAATCATGCGAGTTTATGATTAGCATTGTATAAAGTATCATGAAATAACTAGTCAACAAGTCCTCATTAAAAATTTACAAATTTATTCACTAGACATTAGCTACTTATACATTCCTTTTCTCAACTCGTCCCTACAAAATGTCTTCACACGTACCATGTGGGAAATGTATCAGTTTGGTAGATCCCTCCATTTTTTTCTTTACTGTGTTGTCTATTATTTATGGAAATATTAGTCAGTAACATTCATTTTTCATTTGATTTTTAGTATATCAATTTCTCTTTAACCGATATGGGAAATATCCTGGGGCTCCCGGGTTTGCAGTGGGTTTGCTTTAATATGTTCTTATTTCTAGTTTTCTTAGTTTATATTGTTATTCTATTATGAGACGTTTTCAGAACATTTAATTATACTTCCTTCATTGTACATTTGACTCTATGCATATGAATGAGTTGCAGTAGTCTGAACCTTGATTTAATGATTATCACCATTCAGTCATCAATATATTCCTTTACACCAAAGCGTATATTAACGTTTCATAATTGTAGTTTGGCTTGCTGAGCCAAAGTACTGAATGTTGGATTTGAGAGGACTAACCGTTAATCAGTTACTTTGAGATCTCCAGCGCTGGCAGTCGACATGAATCTTAAATGAAATTTAACGTAAGGGTCTTAATACAAATGAAAATTTATTCTTTAGGAAGATGACTAATAGTGTCATAGTGAAAACTGTAAGCTAGAGATCTCTTTAGGACTAAAGATTATTATTGCTTGGACCAACATAACCAGATGAACAATCTTCGTCTAACTAGAGATCAATCAAGCTGAACATCTGTCCGCTTTATCGTTGGCCGATTCACATTTCAACCATTTGATCTAGTTGTACACAATTTATTCGTAAGCCTTAAAGCTCCCCAAATTTTTAAAAGTTTCGCAGTTTTTCTCGTCACTGTTAAAGATATGTGACGACAATGAGAATTCAATCACTTCGTAATCTATATTCCTCGATGGTGTTAGTCTAACTTTAACGAACCTTTATAAAAGCTCTAAACTGTTATTCGACATTCACGTGCATATATATGATGACTGGATACGACGAACAAATATAATCACAACTGTCATTTAACAGTCCTTTATTCTTTTCATTTATATCCAAAGAATACATTTCATTAACAATAAAACACTTTTGTTCCTTGCACCCTAGCGTTTTTTTAGATCTCTTGTACTTGCGTTATGTTTTCCATATTATTTCAAAATAGTCTATGATAAATTTCAAAGTAACTACTCATCTACTTACCATCAACTTTGCTATTGAAATGTAATATCATAGTCGTGTGGAAAGTCTTTTATTCAACTGACAAATGTGTTTTTTTCGTAATGATGTACTATGAAAATTCTTGTTCAAATTAGAGCTTATATAGTCAATAACTTGGCAATCAAAAACAAATGAACTTGTTGCCAGAAATTTAATCTTCACAGTTGCTGAATATAAGTGAATTAAATATCAAATATCAGGACACACTGAATGTTTAGGAACTGAGGAAGGCACGGTAATCAGTTAATTTTTCATGTCACCAAGAAAAGTCGAAAACACAAAGATTATTCTCTAGTGCGTATACAGACATTAGTTGACATCATTACCAAGAACTGATTAATCGATTTATATCTATGTGCTCTAAGCTTCTTTACATCATCAACCCCAATAAGAGCTACTTACCTAATCCTCTGTGTCCTTCTAATTTAAGTTTATTTTATAAGACAGTTACTATTGCGGTTTTAACAAATTTCGTCGTTATCAGTAGCGGTATTCCTCTCATAATTTTCTTGAGTTCTAACGACACGATGGTCAAACCACAATTCCAATTTGATAACATCCATCTACATTTCTTGTAAATGTTTCATGTAATTGCATTTTTGTCCACAGCAAATAGGTATATCGTTTAAGTGTTCTCATCATAGAAACGGAATTTGTTTTTATAACATGTAAAGCAGTATTTAATCTTTCGAAAATCTGGTCGATTTGATACGATGGAAATACAAATAGGTAGTAGATAAGATACTTCTGTACATGTATTTGTTTTAAAACTATCAGAAAAAACATTGATCTAGAATGTTACTTTATATTTGAACTAACTTTAAATTTCTTAGTTTTTTCTCGGATAACCAATGTGTGGAAGATTCATAATACTAATTTTATAGTGTTCTAGAGGCATGACCGACAACGTATGTCCCTTTTTAATTAGATAAAAATCACTTTTAAAAGGTATTAAACTTCGATCTTGTCTGAATTTTGTATGCTATTTCTGCCGTTTAGTAACTTCTGTATTTATTTTAAATCCATTCAGACAAACATTGAATACAGTACTTCGTAATGTTGTCAATCAGTTGGTCGTTCTCCCAAATCGTCTACCGGTTCAACTGGTTCCTGACATTGACATACAGCGTTTGAAATATCCATTGCCTCAAGTAAGCGCGTATCTGAAGTCCCAATAGTACAGTATGTCTCGACACTATTTAACCTAAATGTAGAACGTGATTAGTATCATGAAACAATACTGAATTGTATTATTCATTGTTCATGATATCAATTGACATTATTGCTTCCTCCACCTGGTAGTTTTAAATTTTTGTTATCAGGTCTAGGAACGTAGGTATTTTAGCTAAAGCACTTGGTTAAACCGCAATTTTTTAAACAAGTGGATTCATTTATGCGTACTTCTCAAGGGCTTGTGAAGACCAAATAATGGATGAAGCGTTAAGGCAATCAGACATAATTGTAGCACGAACTGGTCATTTATTACAACATATCTTCAGATTGGTGTTTGAAAGATATTTGAAAAGTAACTTGTAGTTTTAAACAACAATATTATTGCTGATATAGACAACACCTTTTTGTTTTCATGGTTTTTCGTCTCTTCTGTAGTTCGATTCCATATTTCATTCATCTTTTATAATTTTATAATATATCGGACCGTGTTATTTCAGTAAACAATTAGGTGTTTTCTCTTCCTATCATCAAATTAATGTATTTTGAATATCTAAATTAATTTTTGAACATTATTATTTCTCATTTCATTCACTAATGCTACTCCAATTATTTTTATACTTTCATTATTGATCAATGCTAAAAGGGCGTTCTTCATATCAATATCATATCTGGTCGAAATCTTAAAGCAGGTGATAAAAATGTGATTGGACATAATACATCTGATCCATATTGTGTTATACGAGGTAAATGTCAATTTTATAGTATATATTTTATTTTCAATAAAATAGATGTAATTAAAAAGTGGGTTCTAAATTTTAGTTTTGCTATTTTTATTGTCTTTCTGAAACTCAGGTTTTCGACGATTCTTTATATTTGATTGTTGTAACAGATTAGCTACCACTCTTTCTGACGTCTAAATGATCCAACAGTCAATTATTTTAACTGCTTGTAGTCTTGCGTAACTTGTTCATATAAACCATTTTCTATTATGATGCAGCTCTTGATATCCACTAGTTTATTCACAAACTTTATAATAAGAAAAAATTTCATGGATTAGAATGTCAGTGACATATCATATTATCCAATTATCTGTGAATTTTTGTCACAGTTTAAGAATGAGAAATCATATCGGTATATCTGTTGTTCATAAAAGGTTAGTGTTTGCCAGACCGTAGCTGCTACCCTGAAATGGTGGTCGGGCTTCACCATCTTGATTACTCAGCCGAGCTATATTGGCTAGTATGGATGTTCTCTTAGATCCCACTATGCCAGACAGGTCGGTTAAAGAACGGGAAGACTAAAAACAGCAACTTAAGGTCCAAGGGTGAAGTCGCACTGCTGACTGTAGAGGGGTGTGACGGCAGTAAGGTGTTTTCCCCGGACAACCATCATCTGCAGCGATATTGCCTTCTTACAACAGAAGGAAGGAGTTAGAAAAGGTCGACCCTAAAAATGTCACACCTCATTTTACCCCACGGACTTCCGTCTCCGGCGGTAAAGTCTTTTGAAGTGCAGAGCTAACATATCAAAAACTTCCCATAAAAAGGCCGCGCGTGACTGGCCTCAAGCAGTTGTCCCTTGGGCTTTGGGCATTAATTCAATACTTCCTACCAAAGATCCGGATCAAAATATGAGTGTTAAATGTATAAGTCGAAAATTGTAATATTTCTACTTTTTCCAATTTATAATCATTTGTGTATGGTTTGAATATAGTGGCTGTCCGTGGTAAAGTTCAGGATGGATACCTCTTGATTAGATTTTCGTACATCTTGGTGTTGATATTCCTAATGGCTCTCGAAAAACTTGCATGTAATAGAATATTTAAAAAAATCGTCAATGAAAAAAAACTTTCAACTTTATAAAATTGACAACTTAAATTTTTTTCATTAACAGTTGGTGCTAGGACGTTCACTACTTCTGTTGTTAAAGAAACACTAGAACCAGTTTGGAACCAACATTTTGAGGTGGGTCATTTAGTTCTCTTAATTGCCACCTTTTTTAGTCACTATCTCGTGATATCGACTGGTTCCTCATTTGTTTCTTTTTTCCTACATATCTTCATATTGGGTCTAATCTAGCTCACTATACTCAACATTTAAGATGAATTTGTTTCGAGAAAATTTAAATTACCTCTCATTTCAAGTAAATTTCAGAGTATTACAATATATTTAAAGAGTTAGTAAAACGTCTATTAATAATTCAAATATATTTCAGAAATATGTAACATTTATATATCGTTAACTAATGAGATTGGTTGCGTTATTTCGAGGATGGTCTAAATGTAGATTATCTTTTCTGTGATATGTGTTAGTCAAACTTCACCGTACAGGGTACAATTCTATGCGACATTATTGTGTTTACTAGACGTGAAGGAAACCTCATAGTGTGATCGCCTCATCACTTATGATATTAACCACTCCTCCCTCCCATGAGACTATTATTATCCTAGAAAGATTCCTATCTGAAAACGACTTAAAATGCCTGCACTTCATTATTTGTTGAAAACTGAAAGCATGTATGCACACAAAACGATGCATAATGTTTTACGTACTAATCGACATATTTTGTAAACCTTTAGAATACCATAAAAAACAATATCTAAAATGTACTGTACTATTATGGACTTGTGCTTTTTTTGCCTTCATCATTTATTTTAAATTTAATTATATGTTATTTGTTTAGATAGATGTTGTCAACTCTTGTCATTGTACAAAAATCTGCACATAATAAATATTTCCCAACTTGTGTTGATGCGAAGATTGTTTTGTACTTCAAACATAATAAACTGCATGACCCTGGTGGAATTTCACTCATTTTCGTTCTGTGGTATTTTACAAAATTGGTCTGTCATATACTCTACTCAATTATTTTACTGTCAGACATAAAATAAGAATTTTCTGGATTATTCGATTGGTTTGTAAACCAGTTATTTATTTCGTTTGTGCCCGTTGTTAAACACTGCTCTTAACACAAGCTGTGGTCCACTGGCCCTTAATATCTCCTACAAGCAGAAACATATTCTACAGCTGTTAAATCTCTTAAGCCGCTAGTAGCGTAAACTAGTGCTTCATTTGAGAGGCTTCAGTGCAACAATGTTAAATATTCTGCTCATGTTGTAGGTCTATTCTGTTTCAATTTTCGACAGTTTATTGTAAACAGCGATGGCGGATTGTAAATAGATGTACTAACCTCTGCTCTTTCGAGTGTTCCAATATTTTCAGAATTGGCGTGTTATGAATTATGGCCTCAGAGTAATATCGCATAACAAAACTACCAATCAGAACATCGAGTTCTGTGACTTTTACCCTGAATCAACCAATGACACCCCACAACCAGTAGCAGCAGCTTTGATTCACTGCTAAGGTTTTATTGGTCCTCGATCTAGTAGCTTCTCACCCTGCCCTCCCCATTGAGTCCAGACCAATTTTGTTTTCAATGACACTCCAAGAAAAAAATTCGAATTCTATTCAGTACTTCTGATGAAAGTGGATCTGTAGCCTTTAAACATATCAGTGAGTCAAAAGTAGTATATAATCGAGCATACATCTGCATCAGTTCAAGCTGTCACACCACGATAACACAGCGAGAAAAAATTACATAGACCAATACCAGAGCAGTAGAAGTAATAGTTATAGTATCAGTGGTTATAAAAAAAAGACCAGGTAACTATGATATGATTTATAAAGAAAACGTTAGATTTCGCAATAAAAATTATCAAATAATCCAGAAACTCAGTATCTGATTAGATACATCTCCATTAGGACCGATTCAGAGTTATGTTACCAATGCCTCTAACCATTGATCATGGCAATCACGCAGACCTGGATCAGGTCATTTGCGTCTTCCAACATAACAAAGTAACAATCAATAATTTCAAGTACTGGTACCAATTTTCTTCTGGTCACTCCTACGTTTTTTTTTTCAATCTACTTCCACGTTAGCCGTTATCTCTCATCATGACAGATAGTGATTCGGCATTCGTATTTCATGTCCTATCCACCTAAGTCGATGGTTATTCATAATCTTACCAACCGCCTTACTATATTTAGTACCTTGCTTTTGATGTCAACACTGCTTACTCTGTGATCTCAGCATACATGACCTATATCCCGAAGATATTTATGATTAAATACAAGTAACCTACAAATCTCCCCTAATCTTATAGGTCACGTTTCTTAGCCACATAGTAAAACAGAATGAACTACCGCTTATTATATTCGTCCTTAAATCGGTAGATAAACATTACTCCTACACCACGAGTGTTATAAGTGGGAAAAAAGCAAACGAGCTGTTTAAATTCTGGTCGAGATTTCACTGGACACCAACCTACCACGACTAATGAATATTACAAGATAAGTGGTCTCTAAATAAAACCAAAAACTGCGAGTCGATCTTTCGAAGAAAACTTTTGTTCGGTGAACGGATTTTGATTAAAAGGATCTAATCGTTAGCTGGGATTTTTACTTACATATAATAACGCTCTGCTAATGTTATAATAATCAGAGTAAGGTTAAGTTGAAAATAACGGATTGTAATCAAACCCAATCATAGCATCAGTCAATGAAACCAGTCACTTTTAACTTTATTTGTGTAGAAATTGTTGGTTAATCGTTCTAGAACCTAAAACTGTTACAGTTAGGGACTTCATTTTCAGATAAACTAAAGTACTGCAGATGCAGTTGCGGCCTATTAGCGTCTTTCTGTGGATCATGAACATTCAACTACTATCCTCTTTGTTTCCTATAAACATGTAAATCTTAATCATGAGAAATTTGACTTCGATTACTATCAATAGTATGTAAACCTTGAGTTGATGGATTATAGTTTGAATCGGTTTTGAATAGTCTGCACATTTAATGAAATTCTCCTTTCATCAAGATGAAATAAATTATCTTCATTTCTCTCACTTTTCTGTCAATCCACAAAAGTTGAATAGCTATGTGTCTGTTTTTCATCACAAATGTAACAACTATCTGCTACATAATGAACGTATACTATATCGTACGTGTGTATGATTTCACACTAGAATATGATCAGTCTTCGTGACTTATACTGAAAATGTTTCCTTTCTTTAATTTGCGCTTGTCTGTGCGCATATTTGTGTACAGCGTTTCAGCTTAAGTTATTGGTGTGTTTCTGTTGCCTGCTTTCTATCACTGTTCATTTTCTAGGTCAAACTAGCTGAACCATTGTACCTCTATCGATTTTACTCGTCAGAACAGAAAAATATACTGTGTCCAGATTTCCATTCAAGATAATAAAAAATGTATATTATTGATGTCTTCAGGTTTTTTCCATCAGTCGTGGATAACTTTGAGAGTTCTTTGTACTATTGAGACCAATGAGCAAACAGGTTTATCAAGTTAAAAACATATTAGTAGAACTACTTATATATATATAAATTCAAATACCATTGTTGCAAAAAATAATAGTTTTTCTGAAGGTTATATTGATTTACACTACTAATATATAGCGTTCACCAAAATAATTAGGCACCTCGTTTGTCTGTTCAATCGCATAGTTTTCATTACAACTTTATGATGACACAATAGACCTGCCCTTAGCTTCGTAAGTATCCTTCGAATTATACATTAAGTGACTGATGGTCCTTCGAATTCCGAGTCATGATCTTATCGTCCATATCCTAAACTTCATTGATTCGACATTATGACCTGGTTTTATTCTCATGTATGTTTACATAATACCCCAAGATATGCTTTGCTTGCTTTCTTGACGTTTTATAAGAAATTGTGTTTCACTAGATATCAGTGTGGTGAACAAGAACTCAGGTACGGTAAACCATTATATATTATTTTATGCGAAATCACACAGTGGCTTTATAAAATATAAAAATTATACACAAAGTATGTCATTTGAATATCTTCTTTGAGTTGTCGTTTACATACTTCATCATTCCTCCGATCCAGTTCTTATTGCGATTGCTTTTCGTTTTTCTTCCTCTTTTTATTTCAATTTTCTACTGGTAAACATTCTACTTCCAATTCCTGCTACATACTACTTAGGTAGCTCACTTCGCAACAGTTTTCAAGACATCTATGTAACACTTTCCATTCATCCTTTATGTGTCAACTAAAGCGGATTCGCATGAATTATTCCAGTTATTTAACGTGAGTTGGCATCCAAAAGGAAGTGACCACTTAATGGTTCATTAGTAGTGCTAGAAAATGGAGCATACTCAGAGTGACAACCTTTGCCGCTTCAACGAGATATTTATAATAATGTATAAAAGTCATTTTGACTGATATTTTGTTGAGGATAGTAAATGATATATATATATATAGCTTAGACATAACTAGACGATTTGGATTTCGGAGATGACCTGGCTCTTCTATCCCATACGTACGAAGAAGTGCAGATCAAAACAGCCAGTTTAGCAGCAGTCCTATCATCAGTAGGCCTTAACATAAACAAGGAAGAAACAATATCCCAATATACAACGCAGAAGGTACCATCTAAACCATACTTGATGAAGAAGCAATGGAAGTGGTGGAAACTTCCACGCACCTCGTCAACATCATTGATAAACAAGGAGGATCTAATGCAGACGTAAACACAAGGATTGGCAAGGCGAGAACAGCATTCCTATAATTGAGGAACATATGGAACTCAAGACAACTGTCAACCAATATCGAAATTAGAATCTCCAATACGAATTCCCAAGACAGTTCTACTGTACAGGCCTGAAACTTAAAGAACTATCACAACCATCATCAAAAATGTACAAATATCTCCAAACAATTGTCTACACTAGATAGTTAATGTTCATTGGCCAGATGCCTTCAGCAACAACGTACTGTGGGAGAGAACAAACCATCATCCATTTGAAGAGGAAATTAGGAAAAGACTCTGGAGGTGAAGGTGTGATCCCACGAGGAATAATGGGTGTAGATAAGTAATGTGTTGAATATGCGATTATGAGTTATTTGAGGGGATGTATTTGATCATACTGAATACAAAAGGGACAAAAATCGTTTAGCGAAAAACCTTTCATAGTTTTATTACCTATGCCGATTCCTGAGAATGTATTTCGAATATACGACTATTCCGTAAACTAGTTTTCCAATTTTCCCCTGGACGTCAACAGTTTATTCATATTAATTAGACTTATTAGAATGCAACACATCTCTCTATGTTAACTTTCATTTATTTAACAGATCACGAATTATTAAATGTTTTCGTCATTAGTTTCATTTTTTAATTATGTTGTCTTCAATTTGACCATTTAGATACTATTTACTTTTCTTTTTAAATACATTCCATTTAGTCAATCGTCGACATTTGTCATGGTCAGTCAGTAACATTTGAAGTATACGATAAAGATCAAGGGAACAAAGATGATTATTTAGGTTGGTAAGTATTTTCTTTTGCTTTAAAAAAATTGACTATCTGGTTTTAGTAGCTGAAAGATGCAAAATGATTTCAATTTTTTTCATATATACCTACTCAGAATGAATATTACTCAATAATTAATATGCCTGAAGTTGGTTACCTGAATTCAAAAAAAAATGACATGTGACCTATAAGATTGCCATAGCACAAGCTAGAGACGATCAATTTTATCTACATCATTGTAACGTCAAAGCTACAGTTTACAGCTTGTTAATTCAAATTCTGTCGTAGTCTAAAGTTTTCTGAAGTTCTGTCATCATATAAACACTAGACATTCCTATGGAAACAAAACCATTTTGAAATTCTTATTTGCTTGTTCTAATTTTAAATTAGGACATAACATAGAATAAAATATATAACAAAGTATACAAGTCAACAAATAAATTGATAATAAGCAAATCAGCAAGTCACTCCGCCATTGATCGTTTGCATACAAATATTCTACTGAATTAATCACTTTGACTTCCATCTCTTTATGCACATATATGAATTAAGACAAAAAAAGCTTAGACGTAAATTAATTTTTTAAAGCATCAATATGCAACCTTTCTGGTCTGAACTATGATTGGTTTCTTTTCACATAAGTGCATACTCTAAGAATTGCTTCAGTAGCTCTTTTAAGTCACAAGCATTTTAAGCAGAGATGAAGAGTGGCTAGTAGATGCGGGTAAAGCCAGCCGACGAGTCCCAGTTGGGACGAAATGCACGTCCTGGATTCCACTGCTGGACACTGCCCAACTTGGCCTAGAATGATAGTAACCTGTGATGTTTTCAATCTTGTGCTTTCCAAATAAATTGCCGATAAATAATTTTCTCAACCAACTTTGATTTACAGTTTGCGTACTGTACATTAATTTATTTCTAAAAGCAAGCGTACAGTAGGAAGAAAAATAGTCTCTTTGTCAGCTACATCGTTGTTAAAACTTTTCATTGTTCCTTATTTTTGTGTCTTAACTTAAAAAAAGTTTCATCTCTTTTAACAGAACACCAAACCTCAAATTACTAAACTTTTAACTTACTACTTCCATATACACGTTCACTATACCGAACTTGCTCACTGTAGCCGAAAATCTGTATTAGTTTTAGAGTAAAAGATTGGATTAAAACTATATAATCATCTGAAAGTTTAGTAATATCTATTTTTAATTGAATGAGATGTAGTCATTTCTCAACCACTTACAGGTTTGTGTACTAAGGTACCGTCACATGTATATTATGTAAACAAATAGTTCATATGGCTTGATAGATAAAACGATATATATATATATATATATATATATATATATATATATTGCAGATTTATTTTAACTTGATATGAATTTTGTGAATAATCCTTCTGCGATGTGAGGTTCAAAAACTGCAAATATATCTATACAGTGTTCAGCCATCAAAATAAAATCCAGTACTCCAGTTTTTTTATTTCATTCAAGGTTATGTACACCTCAGCGGAAACGTCTTTGGCTATGAATTAGGGTGACACATAACATATCACTATAGTGCACGCGATGTCGAATCACTTAAACTAGTGGTCACATTGAAAATGGATCTATAGAATTCAGTCATCTCTAAAAGGACTAGACAAATGCGACATTAACCATAACTCATTGACTAGTCGATTGTTTATTTATGCAGCTCATTCGTAGGTGTTTTTTTCGAATACTTGATTCGATCGGGGTTATCCAGACGAAGATGAAAATGTCTGATTTTCACAGGTACCACATTTTTACAACCTATCAAGCCTTAAAAGCTATCAGGTTAGAGCATACCTCTAACACTAAAATACAACTCCATAAATAATTAATTGGCTTTGATGATCTGTCGATACAGTAATTTTTACAGCATATTAAATTAATGAGGCTGTTATTTTTGAGGTTTTTAAGGTTTCCTTTCTATGTAAAATTGTATGTTTTGATGCCGCCTTTCTAGGTTAATGTACTAAAGTTATCTCCATAGCTATAATCTACATAAAATTCTTTTCCTCTTTTTTAATAATGGGATTGTAAATAAGTTAAACTATTGATTAATGTAGCTTTCATTTGTATTTTTCTAATAAACATACACACTCACTTTATCGAGTACAAAAAAGTAGCTGTTTAGTCGTCTCACCTAACCAGTACTATGTGTAATTAATCGATCCCATCTTATCGCAGTCTCAAACTTACTTTCTCGTCCACACAGTATTGAGTAAACGAAATACATTTTAGTTCAACATGAGGTATTTTTGTTTAAAGTGAAATATTTCATATCACTGTATTGGACACAATATCAACCGTCGTTTTTATCTACTTATATTTTAATCTATTCTATTTATATATCTATCTTATGTCTTTTAAATTTATCATTTCAATGTAGTACTTCGATACCAGTTGAGTCGGTAGTCAGTGAAGGTGAAATAGATACGGTAAGTGTATAAGCCGATTAACAAAGTCTGTGTTTGCTATAAATAGAAAAAGATTATATCTGTCCCAAATGCCTCAAACTAACTCACTGATGACAATTTTTGTTAGGATTGAGCTATTATCATAAATTGAGTAGCGTTAAAAGTACTTACTCTTGAATTCACGTTTAATAGTCAAAAAATATTGCGTTAGTCATCAAACCCGATGTTAGTAAGTTCCGTCTCACATGAAAGTTATGGGCGGTCATTGCTTCAGAGTTTCAAACTAGAACAAAATGGTTCTTGAAATTCAACGATTTTCTAACTTAAATCATGTTGTGTTTGGAAACCTCCACAAAAACTACTCTTATAACTTTTCTGATTGACGTGTAGATATTAGGCACAATTTTGACACTAAAAAATCTAGTATGTTTACCACATACAAAGTCACTATATGAATTTTACTCATTTTTTGAATACTAGACAAATGTCGCGGAATTCGATTGAACTATTGATGTTGAAGATTACTTGTTATAATACTGAATCATTATTTTCCATATCCATACTAGTTTAGATGATCGGATTTGCTCAGATGGTATCTACAAAGCAACTAGGAACTAGTTACAGTATTATAGCCTCCTAAGATTTGTCAAGAAAGATGTACATATATCTTTTATGTACACTAAGTATCGAATTCTATATAAAAAAATCATAAAAGTACACATAGAACTTGTTCAATCATGTCCATTTGTGCAATTCAAAGGTTCACGGTCTCTACATTGATTGTTAACAGTAACATACATTATTTATTCTGTTGATTAACTATTAAGTAAAAATTGTGACAAACAGATTTTCTAATTGGATGATTTAATTAGGAATCATTATGTTTTAATATGAATTATCCTTAATTTACTGAATTTGCGACTGAAAAATTAATTCAGCACTTTAGATTATTTATTTAAATACTTGAAGGTCAAAAGAAGTTATAGATTTTACAGTTAAGCTATAACTTCTCGGCAGTTTATACTTTTCAAACGCTTTCGCCTTTGTGTATATAACATATAACATGATCGATCCTCCATTTTGATCCACCTTAAGAATTAACACACTATTCCAAACCAAATCACTCATTAAAAGATTTTATTTAGTACATCAAATTATGATAGCTTCATAGTGGTTTTGTATCATAGTATGTCAACAAATACCTTACTAGCCTTCAAATGCGTACAGTACCAAACCATCTATCTCTGTAAAATATGACAGACGATGTAGTTCTTTCAACACCTCTCCATCCTGTAGTACTTCCTGTTTCTCTACTTTGTAGTGCTTCACTCGGCAGTTTAACTCATTGTAAACCCTACAATATCACTGACTGATTTAAATTTGCCAGTTAATGATTGGATTGATAAACTGTGACTGTCTCTATCAGTCAGCGTAATTACTATCACCAATCACAAAGATATACTATACAGACAAATAAGTCAGACTCAGTTATTCTGAACTTCTCATTAGTATTTACAGACTTTTGACTTGTAGCATACGTTTCTTCACATAAGACATAGTAGCGTCCCATTATAGAAAGCTATTAATTGAATGACTTTAACTGATTATTGCTTTATAATAAAAAGTTTCTTCTCATCATTAGGCCTCACAAAAAATACGGCTGCATAGTTTAAAACATTGAGATAAACAATCTTAGTTTCAAACCCAACTCTACCTATTTCAGATAGGCCACCCGGGTAATATCACTAGCCGTCACACTAGCAGTGCAACTCACAAATCTGTACTCAGCAAATGAGTAAATAATATATTTGTCAACATAAAATAAATCAAATGATATATATCTATAGTACTTACTTATTTACACCTGGAACCCCTTGTAGTAGGTCATAGGGTTTATATACCAATCAACCAGACCATATCGTACCATAAAATAGAAAATAACATTTGTACAAGATTTAGCAAAATGTGGCTGTGAATAGGGGGAACAGTAATTAATGGAATAGGGTAACTCAAGAATGTTAAATCGTATAATGATAGTCTATAGGTCAAAATAAAGCTCATAATAAGAGGAACACGAATACGAATAGTTTAGTTACTTAACAATTATACAATAGGAAATATACATATCACATTTGTCCATAAATAGTCCTCAGAGTTAACATTTATAATTCTCCACGGGATATAACACTAAGAATTGTCTAAAGATTCATCACCATTAATTCAATCTCGTCCCTACACTACACTCACTGCGTCTTATTGCTTGAATACATCAGAACAGCCTGAAAATTATCAGTTTTGTATTTGCCATTAAAATATTGTTAAAACTATTTATCTATTCGTAGCAAATATTTAACACTCAGAAAATATTTAAAGTTTTCCTAGTTCTCATTCTTCTATATGTAACAAGTTAATGATTTCTCCGTTTATCTCTTCTTAAAAATATTTTTTTCATACATTTAGTGGTCCTCATTAGAAGGGGTAAAAACTGGTTCATTACACATTCAATTAACGTGGTTTCGATTGTCAAATCATGAAGTGGATTTTGTACAGGTTAGAAAAATATATTCATCATTTGCATAATTTCTTCTGTTAAGTATTGTTCGGTATATAATAACCAGGATTGTATCAGCTGTCCTTTGGTGCTTTTGCTCAAATGATCATATAAAGGTTGATGATTGATAGGATTTTACTTCAAACACTTCAATTCCTTGTCTTAAATAACATTCAAGTATTGAATAGAAAGTGGGGTTGTATCATTTAGCAAAGTAATCAAAAATTATCAAGTCTTAATCAGCCACTGAAAAACAGAAAGCATTTTTCTTCGTATTTGAGTTGGAATTACTTTTAATACTATTCAAGTCGAAACTCGTCTAAAGGTGTTCATCAATTTCCTGTGACATTTCATCAGTGTTCTTTGCAGAACATCTCTATGACTATAAATTAACATACATTCAAGTATTTCTCATGATTTCAGTCAGTATTACAATCCCGGATGTGTAAGATTGTGAACGTTGAGTGTAAGCAATATATTTTCGGTAAACTATTTCAGAGTTATTTGAAAAAAAATTTGTACTTGTTAGTTTAATGTTTCATCATCATACTTAAAAATTGAAATACATACCTCATTTTCTTTTTAAAAGATGTATATTCCTCTCCTAGAATAAAAATCAATCCGAATTAAAAACTCAAGTGTCATCGTGAGTTGTTTGTTCTCCTCAATACCTAGCTTAAGTACTTAATCTCGCTATATTATTTATAATTTATCAGAATTATGAAGTGCTATTATTTTGTTTCATTCATTATCGATTACGTAATTATGCAAACTATGAATTAATGAACAAACTATTCTAGGTCAAATTCTCTTTTGAAATCACAAGTTCTTTTGTGTTCTTTTCGTTCTTTGTTTTTAGTCGATGGTATGGTTCTATACACCAAGGTTATCATAAAACGCTTTAAGCTATTCAAAACTACATCCTTCATACAATCTTGACCTGAACTTTAGCACTAAATATATATATATATATATATATATATATATATATATATATATATATATCTACCCGTTAATTCTTTACTCATATATACTGATAAGAAGTCTGTTCAGTATCTTTAACGAGCTTTTTTGGAGTTATTATTGTTATTATAGTTTTTAAATGTACTTTAACTATCGTTAATCTTCCAGGACTTACTGCTGTTTACCTTGTTCTGCATCGTAGACTTTTTTCTGCATTTCCTAATCAGTTCGATTGATTTTCTCTTATTTTATTCGTGAAATTGGTGTACGATTTCAACTAACCTCCTTTCGCTAATTCATGTTTGTTATTATCCGGGGATAATTATTAAACTTGCGATTTGGAAACATTACTTCCAGATTACGGGTTTAGTACTAGTACCCGAGTATTTCACTGATTAAATGATTTTAAATTCGATTTCGTCAAATATTATCATTATTACTATTATTATTAGACATTTCGAATCATATTATCCGCCTTTTCTTATGTTCTTCTTTCATCAGTTTGTTCTTTAGGTATTTGGCATTTACTGTCTAATATTTTACTGGTAGTTTGGAAAACCATGTCTCTAATAACTGAACTGTTTTATTCAAGGGAATATGGACTGTGTTTGAGACTAGCGTTTTAATACGCTTCATAACTATATTAAAAAAGTGTCCGTAGTAATTGGTGGATATATATGTTTGCATATGCTCTTACTGCTAATGCATGCTTGTACTTACTATTCATAGAAAATCTTCAACCCGAAATTCTAGTTAAAACTCTAAGGTTGGCTAGTTTTAGATTTATTGCTTCCTGATTACTAGAACAATATAATAGTCAAAGTGTTACGACCTGATATTTTGGGGAAAATGCTCCTTTTTCTGTTGTTGAATAGTGAATACAGACACCTCACCATTCATTATCCTAGCAGATAAATCCGTACTTTCATTAGTGAACAGTTAAAAAAACCCTTCTAAATGATGTATTGGTTCGGCCAATTTTTTATCCCATTAAATCAACGTCTGTATGCCGCATCACACTGTAAGTAGTCGGTTGGTAACAAATTAGCTATAATAAATCGTATAACTGTAGTCAATGGGCTAACCGGAAACTTAAATAAATAAGTAGAATATATATATATATATATATATATATATATATATAGTAATGTAGTTACTCAGTAATTATACAAAAAAATTAAAATTACAGATATTTCTAAAAACTAGTTCAAATTTTCATAATATCCGTTTCATTACAACTCTAGGTTTTTAAATGCCACTATAAATGACTTATAATCAAAGTTGAGGTTTTTTACCAAGTAATTCCGCTAGTATTGTTCCCATTTTCTAAAAATATCTGCTTCCAAAAAATATCAACACTTGTAATGAATACAGAAGGTTTACCTAGTATAGACTGAACGAATAACATACTGTGGTCACCGTTTCCCAAGGGATCCCATCCCTTCTCTTTACTCCACTAGCTTGTGGACCAAACCGTGGATCGGAGACTCGAGAAATGTCCCTCTTAAGAACCTACCCGCTTGTATTTAGATCACACCCTGTCTTACCAAACATTCTTGTGTATTATAAATAAATAAAACATTTCGTGGTACTAGCCAAAGTTATCATCTCAAAAACAATCTCCTTTGGTAAAACATTAACAAGATGATTTCACGTGTTATTTTTAATTGAATATAGATATTAATCTGCTAAGGGTTTTTTTAAAATATTTTATATAACATAATAGGTGAACTATATGTTATTCTAGTTTCTCGATAAAAATTCAACGACTAGATGTTATACGTATCCTGTAATTTATCTGAGATTTGAAAATCACATCTATCTTAGATGCTTTTTAGTCAATCAACTAGGTTCTCCCTCCTCGAACCTAGATTTCGTTTATATAATAGTGTTTATTTGGTTAGTTAAACCTCTGACTTTAAAGAGTTCTACAGTTAAACTAGCGATAACCTAGTTCTAACGACATAAATCTCTAATAATCTGATCTCTTGTTTGTGGTTTCCTTTAATTGTAGTACTCTGTAGTTGTATACACCTATTTGTTGCTCTTAAACTTGGTTATCAAAGTGCTTTGTTAATATCTTACCTTTTAAGTAAACAGTTAACAAATGAAGGTACTTGCATCCAATTGAATTATTTATATTTAAATATGACAAATAATACTTGATTGTACATTCACTTGACTAATTTTTGTCAATTATCTCCAAAGTTCGAAACACAGTTTCGCTTCATCACAGTCCACTATACTTTACGGTCATACAAACTGTAAAGCTTTTCATTATTGCACATATTTCTACATATTGACTATGCAACTTGGGATAAATAAGAAAAAAATTAAAAAGGTAAGTTATATGATCGTAGATTAAGTGACAAATAATCCACCCAATTCTGTATTTTTGCTAATACAGACTGGTAGCGAGAATCAAATACTAAAAGGTGGTTGTCATTTTCCCAATATGAGGCTCTTCCCTACTTATGCAGTCGAATTATTGTTGTACAGTTTGCCGTAAGTTGGAAAATGACGAAGGAGGTTCGCCTTTTTTAGGCCTGATTAGCCTTGCACTCCATGTAGAATTAAGAGGTTCACTTACCTAATGGAAGGCTTTTTTCGTGTTGTTACTGTTATATAGATTGCTTGAGTGCCCAGTTAATCTATGACGTTATATGAACGCCAATTGGAGAGCAGTGATTTATCAGTCGGATTAATCATACATATATACATACATATCACATAAGTCCATAAATAGTCCTCAGAGTTGCTATTCATAATTCTCCACGGAATATAACAGTTACCACTAGAAATTATCAACGTGTAATGACTGGCATGGTTTCCGAAAATTATTTTTGGAAGTATTTTAATTAAACGCTATATAATAATTAAATCAATTCCACCCTCCTATTTAACATACCTGATAGATCTTAGTGCATAATGGTCATTCGAGTAGTTTGGGAATTACATAATAAATATAAGGGAATGCCAGGATTTTACGGAAATGATTTTTGAAGGACGCCAGATTTGTAGATCTCGTTACCCTCTCTACCTTATCAACCAAAAATATTGTCGAATCTGAACAATAAGATGCACACCTTCGGAACCATGAAAGTGGTGATTTCAGATTGGCAGTATAAATTCACAATGATCATAATCTCTGCCTCCGCCCATATCTATTTCAAATATTAGAGCCCGTTAATATTTTTTTAGAAATTAGTATAGAATAGATAGAATGTCACTAGCAGTGGGATCGAGGACGCGCGTTTCGTCCTTTTTGAGGCTCTTCTGCTGGATGTACCTGTTTTCCATAGTTGATGTTCATCCCAGGACTAGAATCCAGTACCGTGTGTTGTAAGCCCCATCGCATAATCCTTTTGGTCCAGATAGCTGCTCACTAGGATTGGCTTATCCCCTTAAAACAAAGGAAACCTGCTTCCTGAATTTCACTTTAGCTATATCCTACTTATTCTATACTAATATGTGTCATAATAGCTATATAAAGGCGATCTATGCATAATTCACGTATACCAATCAAGATTGATCAAATTTTATTTTAAAATATCAACAGCTGGATAATCCAACCCATGTCAAACTAAACTACTTTCAGAAATCATTTGTTAGTATACTATTTCCGAAGGAAACTGTTAAAAGCTTATTAAAGTGAAACCTTCTGTCATTTCAATTTTATGTGAAATCACAAAGATTCGTATATAAAATATTTATGCGAAATAGCTGATCATTCAAAACGACAGACAACTTTGAAATTGACACGTATATTGGCATAGACAACCTATTCAGAGAAAATAATACAACAATCATTACAAACCGATCAAATCAATACTTTTTAAACAAAATAAAAAAGTCAAAAGTTTTCAAATTTTATCCGTCACTACCTTCTATGTAGAACAAATATCAAACAATATAACAAGTGTATAACACATTACAAGTATCCCCTAAATATATTCGTTTGCATTTCGTAACATTCTGTTACACAAAAAATATATCTTAGTATAATATTATCGTTATTCATTGATTTTCTTTAATTTTCCTATTTCTTAATCATGTTTACTTATGAAATTTTACATACAACTATATGATACATGGTGAGTTCATGTAAATTTCAGTATTACAGTTTTAATGTTAGCTTAAATTTGATTACGCATGCACTCTGTAATTCATCTCACTATTTCATTATGTTTATGTGTATTCCGTATGATTGATTAATCAATCTTTCTACTTATTATCCCCATCTACAATCAATACTTCTCGAAAAATAGATTTTCTTTAAAGCATTTATTCAATTTTCAATAGAATAATGTTTAGTTTGTTCAATTCTTACTGGTTATTATTGTTTTATTTTTCGTTATTGAAAAATTAATTCATCCATTAAGATTCTATCTGATACTTGTGTTATTGTTGTTGTTGTTGTTTTCGCTCTAAACAGATAAGATATTGAATATTCTTAATCTGATTGATTTCCAAATCTCTATTTTCATTGTAGATTGTATTTCTACATATTTTCCGTTTCTTTCATTTCATTTATCAGTTGATTTAATGATCACTTTAAAATTTAGTCACATATTACATAGTTTATATTATTAACCTTTGTGGCAGCGTAAATAATATTGACTTTTGTACTGTTTGTAAGATGTACTTACAAAACTCTATTTAGTTAACATCACAAACTTCCGTCTCTCTCTCTGTATATATAGCTATATATATATGGTGCGAATAACTAGATCTTCGCACCTTAACAGAATCACCACATAATGTCTAATTTATGTTTAGGTTTGCTAAAACTAATGCTTAAAAGTTTATCTAATTGAAATTAGATTATTGTGAGCTTAACATAAAAATGAGATAAATATCTGATTACACTATTTGTGGGGGGGAATTGTGGAGATTATAGTATTTTCACATTTGAAATCACGAGTCGATCTAATCACCTGAATCTAGGTGATTATTATGTTTCTATACCAGTTATTGGTTTATTCATCTTGAATGTGAATATTGTACGAGAAATTACTTAGTGATTAAAGGATTTAAATTTCATCTGTTAAATCAATAGCTCCAGTCTTTCCTCACCTATACTGTTTTATGGGGTCGGGCGATTTCGCTAGACCTTACATAAAACGCCGGTCTTCAATTTGGGTACATGATCTTGTACCTGGTTACGGAATATTAAAATCTTTGTGAATCGTTAAAATTAACCTGACTTGCTTGTGTTATTGGTTAGTTTTGATTAGTTTTTGTTTATTTCAATCTCCAGATTTTTTAATTTGTGAACTGTTTTATATGAAAATTGTTGTTGAAAAATTTATAAATCCACTGTAAGTGTGTATCTTCTTCATTCGCATTTTATGTTTGGATGTTTACTCCTTGTTTGTACCTCAATTGAACATCTGTTCATGTTTTGTGTACAAAAAGGCATTACATACTGAACGTTCTCAAGCTAGTTGAATATTTTCTTCATGATATTGTAGATTCATTGAATTCGATTTTTATTTCAAATCTCATAAGAAAGTTGTTGTGTTTACTTGTTATTCCTTCCCTCTGTTTTATTTCTCAGTCACTTTATTTGCATAATCGAATCGTTTGTCAGTCAATTACTCTTCAGTTCATTCTGCTAATTATGATTTGACATAATTTCATTGACTGATTCTCTGAAGAAAATCCATGCTAATACTCGCTCTCTATTTATCATTCATTATTTATTTGTAATAATATTCGCTTTTTATTCATCTCCTATCTCCCTTCTTTTCCCTTTATACTAAACCATACCGTTCCAAACTACATGATGATTATTAGTCAATGGAACAGGCTCTGCAATATCGTAAAGCGTCCGGACGAAGTATGAGTTCAGGATTTTTATACGTTGTTATTGAACAAGCAAATAATTTGCCCGTAAGTTATTTTGTAAAGTGTATAATATGTGTGCAGTGTTTGTTTATATACTGCATGGAAATTATAATATATAAATTTGAAGCGAAGTCTTTTTCCTAAGTGATTGTGTCTGAAACTTAAGCTAGACTCTGTAGTCTCACCTAGTAACTAGTTCCTTCTCTATAATAACAACACTTTCGTTATAATCTCCCTCAAACGTCTCAGTAAGAAAAAAAGTTAAAGTGGCTCTCTATATTCTCACAAGTTGAGTGTGTTCCAACAATTATTTGTATAGTTGTAGCGATGACTTTTGGAATAACAAACTAAAAGAGAAATTAACTTATCAGGGAAATGGCACAATTCAACGTGGTAATCTGCATTGAAAGTTATTGAGGACTTACTCGTTACGACTGCAGTTTGTTAGCAAGAGGAAAAAAACTAAATTATTTGGGGCCGTCCTAGCAAAAGTCGCGAGATAAGTGGCATAATATATGATGAAAATAGGTCACACCTGGCAACTCCCTTTGATAATATTCATCCATTTATCTATAATTCATACATCAGAGAGGAATATCATCGTCTCTGCAAATTCAAACCGAAATATGGTTATTAAATAAATTACCTGTACCCTCTTTCAAAGTCTTTATTGACCAGGTTTCTTGTGTTCTAATATATCATGTTTACGATGATTGACATTTTACGCTATTAGTGAGTTCTCAGCTTTCTTAATTAAACATTTTCATTAATATTCTTCCCAGAAGATTCAACATTTAAAATACTTTGAAGATAATATTTGATTTATCATAACTTTGTTATTGTTTATGGCTACACATTTACACTTTTGTAATTGACTTTTTTATGTAAAAGTGATAGGACGAAATATATACGGATTTCTTCGCTATTGCTTATCATAACGTTTATGCATGAATGATTTTCTTCGTCTAAAACATTGTCCCAATGTATATCAGTTTGGATTTTTACGTGTAACGCCTGATGGTTGTGAGTCCTTATAACAAGTGTAATCAATACTCTAATCTTATTTTCGAAAGTCAGTACTGAAGTGTAAACTTCACTTGATGTTAGATTTTATAACGAATATAACTACAAGATTATAAATGATAATTTCACGGATTTTAGCAGGTCTTATTTATCATAGAAAGGTGTACTTGGTACTGTTCTTTATTCTACTTGCTTCTAAAGTTAATCTAGACTACTTACGTAAATCCGAACAAGCTAATCGTAAAAATGATTTTACCATATATTGTGTGAATAATAATATTTAAGTAGTTTTACTTTGTTGTCCTTGTTGAAGTTTGGTAGTAATGGTCTGTCAATTTATGCGTCATCAATGTGATTTTCAAAGTCAAGCCGACCTACTTTACCTGGGCTTGGGACTAGGACTAACTCTAGAGGGGCTCCAGGCGGAGTTAACACTAACATAGACACAGTAAATAGCACTTGGCCTACATGCAACTTCAGCTAATTGGCGATATCGTTATATAACTAATGTATAGGATATATCAGCAGTAACTTTCAATCATTTTTGTTTCGTTTAACAAGTTTCTGAAATCCACTGCTTTTATACATCATCTTGGATATTTGTCTTTTCTTTCTAGAAACATTACTTCGTAATTAATTGTGATTTTAAACAGTCGTCCTTTCTTCAACTTCTTCCTTGTTCTTCTCTTTCTCCCATTATCAGCCCGTAAAACAACTACAAGAACCTTCACCATTTTGTAATATCCATCTAGGACGCGATTATCAAACAAACGAAGTTAAAGAAAAAACACAAAATCCTGTTTGGAACTCTGTGCATCATTTTCTTGTTAGTGATCCAAACGTTGATATACTTCAGCTTATTGTAAGTTTAACTCATTTTCTCTTTTCCTTTCGAAGGGTGTTTTTAGTAGTCATAACTACTTCAGCAGAGATGTGGATCAAGTTGACTTACTTAAAACTAAGTTTATTGGAATGCTGACCCATGGTTTCTAAATTTGGAAAGGTTTTATCCTCAGTTAGCTAGAATGTTTTATTATTTGGCATACCTCTCGTCTAAAGTAATAAGATTTTGTAATAATATGTCGCACATATGAACATGAGTATAATACTATTGCATGTTGTTGTTAGATCGGTTTTAAAAATTTTAACGGTAGTATAAATAATTCTTTACTGTGAAGTGCGACAACAATTGCTGTAATGCGCTATAACCTATCAATTAAGGTTTTAATGTAGAATTTAATCTATCTGATGTCCGAGAATACAAAGCGACCGCCGACATTCAGTTCATCTTTGGCGCCTTAATGACAAATAGGGAATCCCCTGATAATCAAATCCAGTGATTATGTAAAAGGATTGACCTGCATTGATTGAAATAATTTGGGAAATATTTCGGAACGATAACAATAATGGATTACCTTAGTCAGTGAAACCACTGACTTTCAGTTCATAACTTATAGTCATTCTCATACAGATTCACTCGTACTTCTTGCTTCAAATATTGAACATCCACTATTCTAGTCCAATTTTTCGCTGTTACTGTCTCGAGTTTTTCCGGCTTCCAATATATTTCTCTATTCAGAACAGCTTACTGACGTGATAATTCGACGGCTGAATTAATCCACTGTCGCATCATGTTGTGCAGCAAAACAGTTATAAGTCTGTTTGTATGTTCACTGTATGTAGTGGTACAAGTTGATAACCAAGACACCATTACATAATACTGATTTCTTATCCATATCATTTTCATATGTTTCAATAAAACGTTAAATTGTACATCTTGTCTTCCTTGTGACATGATTTAGATACGTGACAGCCGAACGGAGACAAAACTAGGATCCTGTAACATCTCACTACAAACCTTATTAACACAGAAGAATATGTCTGTCACGCGACCATTCACCTTACAAGATACAGGTCGAGAGTCATCAACCATTTACATGCATTTACAATTGTTGGTGAGTTTTATAATTATTTTACTTAACATTTTAGAATAAATAGTTAAAATTTTTAATTGGTATTGATTTGATTTACTCCATACTTTTAACGTGAATATCTTTGACATGAGAAAATAATCCCATCTTGACTTTATCTTCAGAGTTTACTTAGATGTAAATTATCGACATCCCAAAATTCTGCTGTAATAAACGGGAACTCAGGTGGGGACTACCAGCTTACCGTATAACGCAAAGTTACAAAGTGTCTTCATGAAATATGAAAAACCATACATTAAATACTTCATTGCCATTATAATTACACTCTTTTCACATTCCCGTTCTCTTTAATCCGATCTTCTTAACCTTCTACTACCAGCCATTCCACTTCTGATTGGTGTTACATACTACTTATGTCGACAGACATAATTAACATAAATCACACTGCTACATTTAGTTGTTAACAGTATTTCAAATTCTCTTTTTATCACATTACATGAGTAACACCATTTAAATAACGTTCATGTCTAATTACTCGATCATTAATAAATCTATAATTTATGAAGCTAATATTTTTGTTTTCTTATAAATCTAGTCGTCACCTACATGCATTATCAAAATCTGTTATCTAAGACAGGTGTAGGTTGTTTATATACTAAGCTATTAATAGACACTATTTCTAAGGTGCTCTCTCAAGAATATTTAATTGAATTATATAAAATCCTTTTACTCTGAATTCTATTAATTTCAAACCAATAAAAGACAGACAGAAAAAAATATAACTAACATACTGTGTATTGGAATATAGTATATAATCAATAAAAAGTCATGATAGTAATTATCTAATTCAAGTACAGAACATTAGCGACAATGAAATAGTAACATTGAATACCAAAATGTACATGATTTAGATTTCTTTTTTAAAATAAAGGGCATTTGTTTATAGTCTACTTTTACTGTTTTTAAAACCTTTTTTACCTGTGGTTCCTGATAATTATTTACAATGGTTTCATGGAGCTTAACTACAAGATCTATATCTTCTCATACAAATCGGTAACTTCACAGATTGACTTCATGTGTTGGCCTACACTTTAGATTTAGGTTTCTTATGCACTTTAGTATGGTTTGTTGTCTTAGATAATTCAGTCAGTCATAACATAGAAACTGATACGCATATACATCGGTTCAAGTTTCTATACCCCAAAAGAACAGAAAAATAAAACTGTAAAAGTAATAACAAAACGATTGGTGATTGTAAAGATTAGTCATTGAAGATACGTTTCGAGAAAATATTAATTACTGGACCAATACATATTAGTTATTCTTGACTGAATAAGAATGAGTTGATACTTATTCAGTTTGAAAACGAAATATCCAAAATGTCTAAATAGAAACTGATGTAACTTACAAGTTTGTTTTTCCCTTTGACTGTTAAAGTCAAAGGACGGAACCGTTATCTGCTCTCAACCCAAGCGCTTAGAACGATGGGCGGAACACTTTAAGGAGCAGTTTAGCTGGCCTTCAGCTACTGCACAACTACCCACTACTCCTAGAAAACCTGAATGGAACATTGAAGTAGGCCCCCGACCCTACTTGAAGTTAAAAAAGCTATAAGTAATCTGAAACGAGGAAGAGCAGCTGGTCCAGATGGATTAGCTCTAGAGGTCTTTAAATATGGTGGTCCAATTTTAGCGATTAGGTTGACTAACATTCTGGCTAAAATCTGGGAGACGGACGTAATCCCATCCGACTGGTCACAATCACTGATTGTCCCAATATATAAAAAGGGGTCAAAATCATCCTGCGATAACCATAGAGGGATTAGTCTGACTAACATAGTATCTAAAATACTAGCCTCAATAATTATCAGGCGCCTAACTAAGACTCGTGAACTGCAAACACGATAAAATCAGGCTGGCTTCAGACCTGGTCGTGGCTGTATCGACCACATATTCACCATTCGTCAAGTTTTAGAGCACAGACATGCTTATCGGCGTCCGACAATGATAGTTTTTCTTGACTTGAAAGCAGCATTTGACTCTGTAGACCGAGAGGTTCTGTGGCAGTGTCTGTCAATGAAAGGTGTACCTGAGAAGTACATAAACCTTGTGAAGGCTCTTTACTCGAACACTTAGTCGAGTGAGAGCTTATGGCGAACTGTCATATGATTTTACAACCTCAAGTGGTGTCCGACAAGGTTGTCCACTAACTCCATTTTTGTTTAACTTCATTATAGACTTGTTGCTGGAAATAACACTCTCGTCGACTGAATTTACAGGAATTGATCTCCTATCAGGGGGACCACTAAGCGACTTAGAATACGCAGATGACATAGTCCTGTTTGGTGAAGACGCTGGCAAAATGCAGAGTCTTCTGTTGGAACTCAGTAATAATGCCAGGATGTTTGGGATGCGTTTCTCCCCATCCAAATGTAAATTGTTACTCCAGGACTGGCCTGCGTCAACACCCGAACTAAGGATAGGGAGTGAAGTAGTCGAACGCGTCGACAACTTCACTTATCTTGGAAGCCTGATCAGCCCTAATGGGTTGGTGTCAGACGAAATCTCAGCACGGATTCAAAAAGCTCGTTTGGCTTTTGCCAACTTATGTCACCTATGGCGAAGACGAGATATCCGTCTATCAATTAAGGGACGAGTATACTGCGCAGCAGTTCGCTCTGTTCTACTTTATGGCTGTGAAACATGGCCATTAAGAGTAGAAGATACTCGTAGGTTACTAGTATTTGACCACAGATGCCTTAGAAACATTGCTCGCATCTGCTGGGATAACCGGGTAAGTAATAGTGAGGTTAGACGCAGGGTATTAGGGAACGATGGTAAATCAGTTGATGAGGTGATGAATCTTCATCGACTGAGATGGTTGGGCCATGTGTTACGTATGCCTGAACACCGATTACCACGACGCGCTATGATGACTAGTGTTGGGGATGGTTGGAAGAGAGTTAGGGGCGGCCAAACCAAAACATGGCATCAGTGTTTGAAGTCAGTAACTTCTAGTCTGAGCCATGTTGGCAGATGCAGACTACCTGGTTGAGGTCCGCGTGACTATCGTAACCAATGGTTGGAGACTCTAGGTGACATGGCTCAGAATCGATCACAATGGCGTAGGTGTATACACTCTTTATCTTCCCTTAAACCTTGAGACTAAAATTGCTTCATATCTCTCTTCCTTCCTGTACTATATCCTTATATACAACCTTTCTTGATGTACTACCACCACTAAATTAATTACTTCTATGAATCCGGTGTTCGTCTTGCTGTGCTCACGAGGTATGGCAATTTGGACCGATGCATATAAGTGCCTGGTCCTACGGTGTAGCTGACTGACTGACTTGACTGTTAAAATTTAATCATAAATCGTTGTCCCACTGTCATTTCTGTATCGCGGTCCGCTCATTGACCGCGACCAGTGGTTGGAGACTTTGGATTACTCAGAGTCAGTCAAATTGATGCAGATATATTTCATTTTAATATTTTTCTAGATCTTCCGTTCCTATATCCCTTCATGCATAGCTATTCTTTCTGCCTTTTCAAATAAGATTATCAGTGTTTAGTCTTTTCATTATCACTACTACTGCATTATTTCGACTCCTTTATTATTCATCTTGTTAATTTGATTTCATCGTGTTAGTGTAGTATTCCAACTTTTGTCAACCCGTATTTGTATCAGGCTCTTCGTTATTTATGAATGACTCATTTGTTCAACCATTTGGTAATTGTTTTTATTTTCTTTGTATTAACCAATCCATCGAGTTATGGGCGTTTACACAATAGTTGTGATTTAACTCCTAGCACACTTTTAAGATAGTTTAGCTCATAGCTTTCAACTTTGTGAGAAATCTCTGTATAATAATTAGATGTACACGAAGATTGATTACCTAAGGAGAAATAAATGTTTCTTATTATAACAGGCTTTACTTCCTGGACAACGCCAAAATCCAAGTGGGGATGATAATACCAATATAAAACGCAGTTTATCCCTGAATAAGAAATCTACCGATAATTCTACCCCAACTGAAAAACCTTCGGAATCCCCTACAGCGAATCCAGAAATGGTTGTAAGAAATCGTTTTCCTGATGATAATGTAAGTACTATGGTACTTATGACTTATGTTTTTTGTTAACAGTAATAAATTTCGTTATCATTTGATTCAGTTGGTTGTATTTTAACTTTGGTAATTTGATTGTAATTTCTGTTTGGTTTTGATCATCTTATGATCGGTTCCAAGAGAAATTGGGTTCATCTGTAACTCTTACTTTGTTGACACGTATAAACTTGTGATGCAACTGTAAGCAAGGATGGATAGTGGCTAGCAGTGGAATCCAGGACGCGCGTTTCGTCCTATCCATCTTTGCTTACAATGCTTGTGAATTAAGGCTATATCGAGGCAATACGCACAGTATGCACATATGTCAAATAGAGACTGACTAGTTGCAGTCCTAAACACCAATGGGAAGATTCAAACAAACAATACTAAATGAATTTGTGATGCAACTGTTTTTCACTAGTATTTGATTTCTTACATTCATGTAGTTTTAGCCTCCAATGAAAACTTTCTTAATGTGGTTTTTTTGTTGTGATCGAAGAATATTACTTAATTTATGTTAGCATAGTTAAGTCAGGATCGAACAACAGTTAACCTTCGGTTTCAGCTGTAATAATTTTGACAGCTGTTAAACGGACATCATTATTTGTTCGCTAAAACAGCATCTTCATAGTTGCACGATACTACTTTGTCTGACTTAACATCCTTTCGTATTTAGTTCGCTAGCTGTTATAAATTTACTTACTCCACTTCTTGAAAAGAATTTATTAGCTGTTAGTAAAAGGAATAGTCCCCCACGCTTTGAAATGATTTCGTTATTTATGTAGACGTCGACTATCAGAAGACTCAGATATTTTCATCACTGCAGTCATTCAGTGATGAATTTAGCCTAAACACTCTAAATTGCTTTCGTGAGACACTATGGCCTGAAGGGACAAGCCCTCCTTGTATCCTAGCTCCATTTGATCAGTATTATGAGAGACCTTGATCACAATAAATTGAATTTGTCCTAACTGAGCAATTCGATATGTACTGAATACACATTTTATGTCTTTTATGAATAAATTAGATAAAACTAGGATTAGTTTTGTTGCAGTTTACTTAGTTCATTGAATATAATCTATGTAATCTTTGTCATTTTACGGACTTTCGGTACTTGTTAAGCATAATCCACTACTTACTAACAACGTATACTTCTATAGAGCTCTTCGTATTATAATCGTAAAGTAACTTCGTTTTCCGACGTATCGCCAAATGTTTCAGCCATATTTTCTTAGTTATGGAACGTTAAACAAACTAGAAATCCATGTGTTGAATGTATTTTTAAGAATACATGTTCACGATATACCTATGCGTAGCAACATTGACGATTTTATCCATTTATTGTTTGTGATATTCTCTGAACAGAAGAATACTTCCGAGAACTGATTTTATAATAATGTGAATATGAGGTATGCTGTCACAAAAATTCATGCTAACCACCTCTAAGACTAAAACTACTGTCAAATGGTACTTTTCTTTGAAAATATTTTTGTTCTAGGATATTATTTCTTCTACAGAATCTTTACCAACAACAAACTTCAATAATCAGTCTGCTCAGCCAATTAGACAAGTGATGACAAGTAATAGTATACAACAAATAAGCAATTCATCATTGGGTCGTATTCGTCTAACTATTCAGTTTCATACTCTATCGAACTATTTAGAAGTAACAGTACATGAATGTCAGTAAGTAGTTCACTCTTATTTGTGCCACTTTCATTGTGATACTTCAATTTTTATGCAGCCATAAAACTACATACAAATATGTACAAAAGAGTTAGCCTATACTTGAAAGAATATTTATACTAACACTTTCTGTTGACACCTCGTTATTTTATTAAAGAGCGATTTACATAATTTCACTTACGTAACTATAAGAAAATGTGAGGAAAATTAGTCATTCACTATATATATATATATATATATATATATATATATATATATATATATATATATACATGTCTGATGGGAGCACAAACGAAGAATAAATAGATCTAAAGAAGAGAACTGCTGATGGATAAATGATCAATATATCAACGACCGTTGCTGCTACCTTGACGTGGTGGTCGGGCTTGCCTATCGTGATGAACCAATCGAGCTATACTGGCTGGAACAATCGTTCCTCAAGGTCCTACCATGCCAGACAGGTCGGTTGAAGAGCGGTAAGACTAAAAGCAGCAAACCCAATGTCCGAAGGCAAAGTCCTACTGCTGACTGTACGGAGGTGTGACAGCAGTAAGGTGTTTCCTTCGGACAGCCAGCATAACAGCGATGCTGCCTTCCCACAAGGAGGGATGGGGTTAGAAAAGGTCGACCCTAAAAATGCACACATCGTCTTATCCCACGGATATCCGTCTCTGGCGGTAAGATCCCAACAAGTACGGAGCTAACACGAAAATTACCCACAAAAGGTCGTGTGTGACCGACCTCAAGCAGTTGTCCCTTGGGCACTGCGGTCACGCTCTCAGGTCATTAAGACCACTTCTAACCCAATTTCCTTTTCAGGTACCTCTAGAAGAACCTTTCCACGGTGTGGGCAACCGGGAAGTGATAACTTCCCTCATACCTCTAACAGCACTCAAGACCACTGTATTCATAATCAATCTCCTTTTTCACTTCCTACCATTCCTTCTACCTCAACTTTTAACACTAAACTTCCTCTTTCCGTTTCCTCCTCAAGTGTCACCATGGCCAACGATTCTAGTGCGCGAAACACTGACTAGTGTAGGGGATGGTTGGAAGAGAGTTAGGGGCGGCCAAACCAAAACATGGCATCAGTGTTTGAAGTCACTAACTTCTAGTCTGAGCCATGTTAGTAGATACAGACTACCTGGTTGAGGTCCGCGTGACTATCGTAACCAATGGTTGGAGACTCTAGGTGACATGGCTCATAATTGATCAAAATCGCGTAGGTGTATACACTCTTTATCTTCCCTTAAACCTTGAGACTAAAATTGCTTCATATCTCTCTTCCTTCCTGTACTATATCCTTATATACAACCTTTCTTGATGTACTACCACCACTAAATTAATTACTTCTATGAATCCGGTGTTCGTCTTGTTGTGCTAACGAGGTATGGCAACTTGGACCGATGAATAGATGTACCTGGTCCTACGTTGTAGCTGACTGACTGTCTTAATTAACGAACATATATGAAGAAATAATCTGTCCAGTAAATAATCTTTTTAAACATTTTTATTTAACTATCGAATTACTCATACAAATTGTCATAAAAAACAAACATGTACGTCATCAAAAATACTATCAAAAGGAAAATTCCTCCTTCAAATAAGTGCATATGAAGAGAGTGACGATGTCATTATACATTAAGAAGTGCCACTTTCTCGTAAATGTGACACAGGTAATTAACAATAAAATATCTTGACGTACACTGTCGGGTCCTGGCCCACCGGTTTTAAGGCTGAGCCATAACGAATTGGTTGGTGGTCCTGGGTTTGATCTCTAGTGGGAATGTAGATACACATTACTAAGGGATCCCGTACTGGGACGAAATAACTGTCCATTGCTTCTTGATTTTCGATATTTGTCTAGGATCAGTGCGTGATGTAATCTGTGATAAGATTTGGCACTATATTCTAATAATTGGCAAGCTTCTAATAATGTTGTGTGTAAAAAATATTCACTTGAAGAAAAAAATGAAACGCCAGATCAGGCAGGAGAATGAATCAACACTTCTGTTTTTCAACTATACACATTGCGACCTGTAGAATTGAACAATCCTAACTTGAACTACTGAGTATTACTAAGTAGTGTATTATGTTACATTAAAAATAAACGAGAGCGGAAGCAATACATATAGTGTGACAAGCAAAGATGGATAGTGGCTAGCAGTGATATCCAGGACGCGCGTCAAATCCTATTTGGGACTCGTTAGCTGGATGTACCTGCATCTCAGAGTTGATGTTCACTCTGGGACTCGAACTCAGTACCTTTCGCTTCAAACGCCATCGCGTTATCCACTCGGCCACTGAGTCCTGAAGCGAGGGTACTGGGTTCGAGTCCTAGAGTGAACATCAATTCTGAGATGCAGGTACATCCAGCTGACGAGTCCCAAATAGGACGAAACGCGCATCCTGAATTCCACTGCTAGCCACTATCCATCTTTGCTTATCATGCTTGTGAATCAAGGCTATATCGAGGCAATACGCACATTATTCACATATGCCAATTAGAGACTGACCAGTTGCAGTCCTAACACATCGATGGAAAGATTCAAACAAACAATACTAAGTGAATTTAATACATATAGTGGTTAAGCGCTCGCGCGAGAGACTGATAGGTCCTGGGTTCGAATCTCGCGAGGCGGGATGGTGGATGCGCGTTGCTGAGGTGTCCCACAATAGAAAGAAACGGTCGTCCAGCGCTTCCAGGTTTTCTATGGTGGTCTAGCTTCGATGGACTCATGATTTCAACTATATAACAATACATATGTATTAACCCAGTGTTCAACTTTATTTATTTATTGCATTTATTGCATCAGACTTAGTATAGCTCATTTTTCTTAGATACTAAAGTCATCCATCTTCTATTTGTTGAGTTTATGAATGATATTTTTATTTCTTATCTCATCCCTATGTATATAGACATTTAAGCGGTGTTGATAAAGACGGTCTATCTGATCCATATGTAAAACTTTATCTTATGGATTTACACGAAAACGTGGTCAGTGATTCAAAAAAGACTAAAACTGTTAAAGATAACTTGGATCCAAAGTACGAAGAAAGGTAATTTCGTACATATTTATGTATGTATTATATGAGATATTTGTTGTTAATTCTTAGTTTGTCATCGGGTATTATAAGTGAACATTCAGATTAAAGTACATTAAATGGTTGGTAATGACCTTGTATTGTTGAATTACCATTTAATATTACATGTTTTCATAATGTTACTTTGTTAGTCCTAAAATATTACCAATAAAAATATACTCATTTTACCTCTAGAAAGTGTCACACGTTTTAGGAATCCATTCAATGTACTCATCAGTTCATGTGTTAAGTCCTCGGAATGCTCTGCACTGTCTTGATTTTTTCATATGATACCACTTTTACTTTCTATTATCGCACTACCTTGGCCTTAAAAAATAAGCGTAATATTATTTTTTTTAAGTATCTTGCTTCAAATCCTGAGAATATATATAATTTCTCTTTTTGAATGAATTTTCGTTGGTTCCTGTAACACGCCTAAATTTTCTACGTTTGTGATTGTTACCGAATACATGTATCTCTATGTCACTAATATTTTTACACCCCACGTGCTTCTATTACCTTCGTTTGCTACTTACCTGTGATTGGTGATGTAATGAAAACCCCATATATTATTAGTTTTATTAATTTCTCATACAACCAAAGAGCTCGATTGATTGGGAATCAGTGGTGAGAATTGTTTATTGATTAAACTACTTGAGCAAACAATAAAAAAGTGACACATTTGTAATAACTTTGCTGAACATATACTTTCTGAATGATAAGTATCAATGTTTCAGTTTTAATTTACTCTTTTTCGACTTATCTGTTACTCAATACATAAAAAGTCAGGTAACATCTCACATGTTATAGTTTTCATCTATTTGTACGGAATATATAAGTACGTTTAGAAATTTTCGAAAGTGACTGTACTTTCCAAATTAATATACTGTGTCCAGGTAATATACCGTTTGCAGTTTTTTTGTCTATTTTATTCTAAAAACAGTTTTATTGGAAAAGTATCTTTGATGCATATTATCAGATCCTGAACATACACTTTAAAAGTCTGTATTATTTAAACTATAGTGTTATGTAAAAAAGTGATAGTCTCAAATCAGTACCACTACTACTCTATTTATTAACTTTGGTTTAAAAAAACATATATAGTAATGATCTCACGGTGTATTAACTTCAACTATTCTTTATATAAAATTGTCTATTAATGACGTCTACTTGATATAATTTTACTTTCTTTTATACTTCAGTTTTCAGTTTCCGATTGAGGCTGACCACCTTCCATTGACCATTCTAAGGCTGGATATCAAAAATCATGTGGGACGTTTTACACGTAGTGGAAAAACGCATTTCATAGGGACTCTGTCGATAAATCTTATTGATTCAGTAAACGGGAAAGCTGAAACTAAGTGGTAAGGTTAATGCTTTATTCTCTTATAATCTCTTTTTAAATAAGTATGCTTATGTAGACGTTGGTATCGGTTTTCAGAACTAAAAGGATAATCATAATTATCTAAGTATTTCACTGCTTTTTTGAGATATTTGGCATTCATATAAACAATGTATGCGTTTTTTACCCTCATAAAATTCAATTGTATTGGATAAATGTATTCATCATAAACTTTCAGAGATTGCTTTCAATCCGGGTAGTCAAATCCTAGCTAAAAATATTTTCTGCATGTTTCGAGATAGATTATTGTTTGGTCATGATATATTTTAGAATTGATCTTCTAAAATCCATTTCTCGCAACTAAGAGATCATAATGACGTTCACGTAGATGCTTAGTTTTCGATTGTCAGTATTCGTTTTGACATTTGGTGCTTAACAAATATGGATGTTGCCCTACAATTCAAATCAAATAACGGGTAAAACTAAATTATACTGACGATCTTGAATGGATCAATTAAATTTTTAGTAACACCTCAGGCTTTGTGTGAAATTCAGATCATAGTGAATGGTAGCATTTATCTTATTAAGAATCAGAAAAATTGTCAATATTTAGTTTGAAAAATACTGAGAATTGATGTAAATATCTTTTCCACAACCACATAGTGAATACGACATTGTGTGTAAACTACATTAAAAGAAATCTCTGCTCACTAATGCAGCTTGCGAATGAGAATACTTGAAATGACCCAATCCATAGTCAAAGACATTCGTATGGCCCAAGTGTATTTTCCTACTTTAAAACTTCTAACCACAATCTTTCTTACCCTAATTCATAAATTTAGCTAATCTCCCAATATTTATTTCTCAATCTTTTTCTTTTACTATAATGAACAACTCAACTTGTAAGGGTCGTTCAATCATATCGAAATTATCTTTTTCACTGCGATTGTATTACTTCTTGTCATTAATTTTTTTAACTAAACACTTTTCTGATTAGCTGATAAATCACCAAAGTTGATTTTAATAAATAACGTCCTATATGAATTTTTTATTCCTAGTGATTAGTTATTATTAACACAGCAGTAGTTAACGATGCACTAGTTTTTAGCTTATTTAGACCTAAATTAAAATGGGATGTTACGCTTTTTTCTCTTTATTTAAGGTACGACTTGGCGTCGCCCATTTTTCGTCCATAACTTCGTGTTTTGTTCGAAATACACGCAGCTATTGTCTCTATGTTATTTGGTATCAATTAGTTACTTTCTTAAACTGTCATCTCTATTTCCATGCAATTAGTGTGGTTTATTTGGATTTTTGCTTTTCTGTGTATTTCCCTTTATTAAGAATCATGTATATTTATATTTGCTATAATATCATATTTTTATTAAAAAATAGTACTTAATGCACTCTATTTACAACTCTGAAAGTGTATGAAATTTTATTATATGACCTACGACTCAACGTTCACTTATGCTTATTTGTTTTATGCCGCCATGTGTGTCACACTGTAATTTTCTCTTAGATTCTTTACTTTTTGAGTTGCATTATTTTTTTCACATCCATGATGATCTAACCGCTATTATTACCGCATCGAAAATTTACCTAACTTGAAAGTTGTTGGCCATTAAGCTAATATATACTTTGAAAACAGCATTTCTTTTTCATAGAGTTCAGTGGAGATCGTAGTCTGGACGTACATCTTTTGTATTCTTTGGAGATAACAAACGATAAAATCGATCTTTCGATACGGCGTCAGCAACCCTAGTCCGTAGAAAGCGACCCCGTCAAAAACCCTGATCAGATAAAATTCAACTCTAACCTGGGAGTGTAACGATTTTTTAATTAGGAGAGTTATGATGCTTCATATTGGAAGATGAGACTCCTCTTAAGTCACGATGCCAATGCCTCTTCTGAGAGGGAGGGGGCAGTTAAATAGCTGCGGAAATGAGGAGATAAAACTTAACGGTGCTCGAAATCAGTGAAACGCATTGTGCCCAAGCTTGACAGGAAAGGATAGATTCAGGAAAGATGCTGTTGTACTCTGGTCGTAAAGAAGAAAATGCTCCGCACACAGGGAGTTGTTCGAATGCTGTCCAAAGAAGCACGAAAAGCACTTGTAGTATGGGGATCTCATGCATGCAGAATCTTCAAAGCAATGAAGAAAGGAATCACCAGTGATAGCAATCACGAGGATAAAGATCAGTTTTATGAGAAACTGCAATCGGTAATAATGAAGTGATCAGGAAAAGACCTGACCATTTTGATGAGAGATTTAAACGACAAGGTCGGAATGGATCACACTGGATTTGAAGATATCGTAGGACGACATGACCTTGGAGGAAGAAAAGGCAGTGACAGATTTCTAAGTTTATTTGCATCCAACAATGTTCCCCCACAAACATATACACATAGCATCATGGGTCTCACTGGAGCATACTATAGAGGACCAGATAGGCCATATTCGCATCACCAAAATTTCAGAAGGACAGTGGAAGACGCGAGAGTCAGGAGAGGATATGACACAGTTTTAGGTCGATAAATAAACAGAGTTTGATGTATATATGGAGGCACGGATAGGCATGCTAAAGACATAATTCCTACAACTGGTAAACATATGGTACTCACAACAACTGTAAACCAAAATAAAGTCGTAATCCTCAATACAAACGTCAAGATAGTTCCACTGTATAGGGTCTAGTAAGTTAACAACACCTTCCAAGCCCCCAAATCATCCTCAGGATGATTTTGAGGTGGTGGAGAAGATTTGCAGACCAGGTAGAGTCTTGTCGTCTGAGCTGGTTGGTTTGGTCGTGGAGCTTCCATCGTTTTTTTGAGCTGCATCATCAGTGTAAACTTCAAGTAGAGGTGAAGTGTTCAAGTTTCTCCACATGTGGTTCACAGCTTGTTTAGTACACCTCGGTGTTGATTGGTTCTTGTTGACCTTGAACCTGCCATTGTCTACTTTGTTTTGATTGTATCTCCCATTGCAAGATTCTTTTCTGAAGTCAAAATCTTCGGGCAGGGGACTTTTTTCGTATGTGCTGTATTGTGCAACACTATTGGATTCAAGTAGATTGGCGAGAATCTACTACTGAACACTGATTTTTTCATGCTGACTGAGTAGTTAGTACTGTACTCAAAATGTCTCATCAATGGGATGACATTTTCCAGCTCCGGATAAAAGATGTGTTCCAGACTCAGGACAAGTCCCTTGGACCACTTCTAAGGATCGTTTTGAGCCCAAGAGATGTACGATTATTCCAATCGTCAGTTATCGATTCTATCATTGCTGCAAAAACACTTAGTGTAGATAGGGAGACTTTGTAATTTATTTATTGATAATAATCTTTGATTAGTGCTAAAGCGATATTTTTTGGGTTTCTTCAATATATTTTCTCACTATCATATGTTGATTTTGACGACTTAAAATGAGTAGACTGCCCAATACTTAGCTTAACTAGGTGTATCAAACATTCCTAACGGTCATTCTCAACTTCAAAAGCATGTTCCATTCACTTTTTTTCTACCTGGCATAACACCTACTAAAATCAACCAGGTGTTATTGATATATTTGCCAAAACAGTAATAAATTAAGACATTACTGTTGTAACCGCTGTGCGTGCTTCCCTCGAATGATGTGTCACAAACTTTAACCAAGCTATCTGGAACAAAGCTATTTCACTAACTGAAACTTCGCAATTCAATGAGGACATTCTGGATTTATTGAAGCCGAATTCCTTTATGGGACAACAATAACTCTCTGTAAGCTGTATAAACATCTCGACTCAAGATGAATATAACTTCCCGAACGAGATACCTTCAGACAGTATGTAATTAGTGAAACCCCGTCTAATCCGACCACAGTAAACTGGTGTTTTCACGCAGGTGGCTTTATTAAATTTCGGGCAAGTCTTTTTACACCATGACTCATCATACCACACTTTTGCTGGATCTTTCTTTTCCGAAATACTACGAAATCAACAAAGACGAGGAGAATGGACACTGAATAAAAGACGTTCATTTGGAACATGACCTCTTCTCTGATATAATACGTACCTTTCACCTTTAAACTTAATTCATATAAAACCAGGAACACATTATATCTTTTATTCTTCGATCGATATGAGTCACTAGCTAGAAAATTGTCTCGATTCGTAATCTCGGGGGTTTTGGGAGTCACAATAGTATCCAAAATATTGGCTTCAGTCATCACGTAACGGTTACATTGCACTCATGAAGTCCATACTTGGGAAGACTAGGCCTGTTCCAGTCACATAAAGACTTATCTACCCATTCTTCACCATAGATGCATTTGTCAACTTTAGATCAGATCTCGACCCGTAAATCAACAGTAATTCGTTAGTGAGTCGCCGAGATGCTTGTTAAATAAGCAGATTAACTCTTTGCAGTCTTTTTCCAGGATTACTATTTGGAGAGTTAGTGTTTATAGTAAACTGACATCGGAATTGATAAGATCAAATTGTATTCATCTGCGTCGTCCGATTTCCTCATCTCCATTTATTTTGCCAGGCAACAATGTTGGCACATTTGAGATCTATTTCTCTCCCCATAGACATAGTAGGGATAGACAGTTATGTAGCCAAATATGTTACACCCCTTCACTTATATTGGAAATTGGTGTTCAAAAGATCCTGTTAATAATTCAGTCGGCCTATACCCATTAAGATAACTGCAATGTGCGACAAACATTTTTATCCGCTGTTTCCTTCGATGCGCGATGGGTGATTTTGTAGGAGTAAGTTAAAAAAGAGATTTAGAAAACCACAACAAGTCATGGCATCAGTCCATAAAGAAGCTAACTGCTGGATTGAGTCTTGTAGGTAGATGCAGACTAATTCGTCAGGGTGTTTCTTACATTCAGTATCTACTCTTTAGTCTAAAAGGTTTGTATTTGATAATCTTCCAGTTAAGATAACTATTATACCATAAACACCTATGTATGATGGTCCTGTGTGAAGTTTGTCTTATTACAACTATCACTGACAATATCCGCATATTTCAAATGACTGATTCGATACGCTAAGTGGTGAGGTCATCCACTCATCAGCACACGCGAAATCTTCCTTACTAACATAAGTTACATAAGGTGAACTGGAAAGCAGTGTGAAGTTTGGTCTCGACTTCTGTATATCATGTGTATACACGAGATCACCCGAGGAAATATCATTACTTTAGATTATCGGGGAAATTGCAGGCGAGAAACTTTCACATATATCACCGTGTGGTGAATTAAGGGCTTGTAAGCTTTTTTGTTTACCGGTTTCAAACTGAATATTGATATCAGATGCTAGATAACAAGATTATGCTTAATTGAAAGCGCATCTCAGTATTTCCGCTTCAGACTAAATGGATAAGACTATAGGCTGGACTGAACCAATTACGGGAAGTTAACGATTTATTAGTGTTGTAGCTGTAAATAATTCCCGAAAATCAATATCTCATTAAGTGTTCGACATTGGATGCTGACCACGTTGTTTAAGTGGACTTGTTTAACTGAAGGCTTTCGGTCATGCATCCGCACCAGATCACATTGCAACACGGCGTGGGACACAGCTCCTACGTTCATTAACCAGCTTATAGTAAAGGTTTCTCGATATATTGGTAACGTATCAAATATATCTTTCCTACCTCTCCTCGTCTGACTTCTGGTTTCTATTCGACTGGGAAAGAACGATTATAGAAGATACTACTGGTTGCTAATTGCAAAACTAGAATATCCGTTGTATCCTCAGTGTTATACTCTTTGGAACAAAGAAACCTTGTCTTCCTGTAATTTTTTATCTCTATGAATGATTTACCCGTTATATTCACACCATATACTAATTTCTGAATGCTGCATTTGTCAAAAAAGCTGAGGTTTTGTTACCATAGGCCTTGTTTAGTAGTAATAACTTTTCAACTACGGGGGCTAATATGTTTATATTCGTGGCCGAGACCACAGCAAACTTGGTGTCTGGTGATTTTTACATTTGTGATATATCAAAGGCGATATTTGTTACTGTCGTTATTTTGCACAATATTAATTGATATTTCAGCTAAACAAGCTATTTTAGTAGCCTCTATCAAGTAAATTTGCATTCTGTGTCTTCATAAGCTCATTTACTCTGGTTTGGTAATCGGTGGTGGTTTATTAAGTTGTATTGGACGTGAAGATCTCAGTGCTAAATACACAGCCAGAGTAGACCTCGAGAGCATAACGTTGCAGTGCGAACAAGAATCTTCCGACATGGACTAGTGATGTAATCTTAAGGACGCCTTCTTACTGTCTCTTGGTCGGACACATCACTTTGAATTTCGTACACGAAAACGTCTAGGCTTTTCACATGGAAGACGTATCAGCAATAGGTATGTTGCCGGAATGAATGGCATCTCCCCAAGGTTGCATGTGACTGGTCGCACTATAAATCACTACACAATAGACGTACTTATAAGACAGGATTTCATAAAATAAACTTTCAAATTCTCCTGATAAAGCATGAGAAAGGCATCGACATGCCATACATTGTTTTTGAAAACCCAGATGCATACCACATTTCTTATTATGAACCGGGAATCTCTGATAGTACAGAGCTTAAACATTGCCACCCTTAGGCTAAGGGCCAAGGAACTTCCAAATAATTTTTCCCATCATATCCATATGCTGTCGCCCCATCCACCACCACTCTCAAAGAAGAGCAATTTTGAGGCATCCAAAGTCATATAATCCTTTGTTTTTGATGTACTTAGACTGAGTCTAAATAAAATGTGGTGATCTATATTGTCAACTCTAATCCTTAACTCAGTTGCTTAGTACAAGAGTAAGTTACTTTCGTCAGAAAGAGTTCGTTTCTACACTCCCACAGAGGTGAAAACCTCCAACTGCGAACGATCTCCCCTCACGTAGGAAGTTGTAAAGGTTATGGAAAGAATTAATGATAAGTCTCCCTAACTATCTTATAACAACTCTGTGCTTTCTGTATCGCAACATATTTTTTACTCGATAAATCCTTTGATATAATCCAGTTAGGCGAATGAAGTAGCTTGGTGATCTCACTGGAGGAAAGCGATTCTGTTCGTATTAGATTCCCAAGTTTTTCTGGGGACACTCGACCGAGTTGATTATTTTATTCCCTTACTTTACGAAAAATATTATTTGCTTGAAACGTATTCAAAAAAGTGTGATCAAGGAGATACCCAAGCTAAGAAATAAAACACACTCAAGCCGTCTAAAACCTCTGAATTACCAACCAATACTATGCGGAAAGACTAAGTGTTGTGTAATCTTGATGTATCACATCGGTCATCATACTCTCCACTCCACCAAATCAGCGACATCCTTTAGTATTTAGCTAAATTTAAAAGGAAATTTGATTGGGATACAACGAGCAAGAGTCGTCACAGAAATATTGGCAGCATGTTTCGCAGTTCGAATCGGCAAATTGTGTGATTCCCTACCGGGTCCAGTGATAACTTCACATTCTGCAGGGTCTTTCATGAGAAGGACTAATGTTCACTTTATTTGCGTAGAAAATGAGTTGCGGTTGTTGTTATATTCGTCATTTCTAACTCACTGACTAGTTTAAAATCCCAATGCAAATAGTCTTGAGGCATATTTCAGTATTTCAGTTAACTGAAATTTACGATTGTATTAACGGACTATAGAACTGAATAGATACTAGTTAACTAATGTTATATTACTATTGGATTATTACTAGAATCAGAAAACCTCATGACTAAATTATATCTATATCAAAATAGGAATCAGATTCACAGGAATTTGCTTTGGGATGTCATGCATCAAGGATTACATTTGACAGGCCTAATATGCACTGAAAAGAATCCAAAATGCCCTAAGTGTCAGTTAGTCAACACGTCTCACATTTTTATAGATCGATATAATAAAGAAAACTGATCAAAAAATAGGATTCTGGACAGGCAATCAGACAAAAACGGTAAAATGATTAAAACACTACACATTTGAATCAGTCGGAAAAATGACCAAAGTTAATCAATAGAATTGAAGCACTTCACTTGACATTCACACATTCTGTCAGATAACACTTGTCAGAATTATCTTACAGTACTGTGAATTTAAAATGTCTGCACTAAAGTTGCCGTGTTACGACTTTTTATTCCTATTATTATCTAATTTGTGTTCGCCACACAGTTTCTAGTGAGTAATATGATGAAAGTCATATAACTCCGTGTCCAAACCCTATCTTTCACTATTAAAAATCAGATCACAGATAATGATACTCATTTGATTCTAGTTTTCAAAGTCTGAAGTTTGTTGCTTGAGATGTTTGACCGTATCAACTAAAACCTTACCGGTCTGAAGCGCCAGTTTCGTTTCAAAGTGATGTCGAATCGAGAGTGCCAACAAAATATTCGTGTAGCGGTTCGTTGTCGGTATGTCTCACATTTCATATATCGATTCTGGTCAGGCCTACCAATAAGCAGGAGCTCGAGAAGGGCGTACGATCATGTGTCGAGTGTAGCCGGGAAAAAGTGACAGTGAGGGATAAAAGTATGTCAAAGGTTTTCACCTTTGATCATGTCTTCAATCAATACTCCAAACAAATCGACGTCTACAAAAGTATGGTTGCTCCAATGATAGAGGAAATAATTATGGGCTATAATTGCACAATTTTTGCGTAAACTTCAGTATATCTAATTAACTTTAACAGTTATGGTCAAACAGGTAGTGGTAAAACATTTACGATGACTGGTGAAAGGTCTGACAAGCTTCGTTATGAGTGGGAAACGGATCCACTTGCAGGGATTATTCCTCGCGCTCTAAGTCACTTGTTCGAGACTCTACAATCAAATGTATGTTGTCCTTAACGAAAGTAATGATCCTCCAGGGTTCTGACTTTTCTGTTCGCGTCTCTTTCCTCGAAGTTTATAATGAAGAGTTATTCGACCTTCTGTCTGCCACTGAAGATGTCACACGTTTAACAATATACGATGACGTAAACCGTAAAGGTTCGGTTATTGTAAAAGGCCTTCGGGAAGTAGTGGTTTTGGACAAGGATGACGTTTACAGTGTTATTGAGCGAGGAATCGCTAGGCGTCAAACTGCCTGTACTCTTTTAAATGCTCAGTCCAGGTACTTGTAATTTGTTTCTTACTTTTAGTCGCTCGCACTCTATTTTCACAGTTACTGTCCATATAAAAGAGACAAACGCAATTACCAGTGAAGAATTACTGCGTATTGGAAAGTTGCACTTAGTAGACCTTGCTGGCAGTGAGAATGTTGGGAGGTCAGGTGCTGTTGAAAAGCGAGCACGTGAAGCCGGGTCGATCAATCAAAGTTTACTAACTCTGGGTCGTGTAATAACGTCACTTGTGGAACATGCTCCCCATGTACCATATCGCGAAAGTAAACTTACACGCTTGCTACAGGTAACCGACAACTTCATTGTTTTCAAATTTGTTTACCACTTAAAAACCATAATGTAACTTTTTGTGTAGATGGTTGGAAAAAGTTACAGATAAACCTTGTGTGTAGCAGTGAGTCATCAGTATGTACAAGGATATCTGTTTAAGCACTTTAGGTTTTCGACGTCTCTGGGTTTCAGTTTTATGTATATACCTCATAAACGGTTTCTTCAGAAAATATAATTTTTGTAGCCAAAATATGCAATCCAAAAGTCCATATGCCCATCATTGATACTCAATAATGTCACTATCGAGTCCTGCTAAAATGATAAAGTAACGTTTTGTGAGTTTTCGCTTAACTCTTTTGCTCTGGTTTGTGTCCATTTCTGGTTAAGCAGTGTCAATGAATGATGTGAAGTATTGTGTTGTAGGAAGGTTAAATTCATAGTTCTTTCACTCGGTATTGGTTGTTTCAAATGCCCATACCAGAGCATTATTTAGGCTATAGAGGATTCACATTTTGTGTGACCGTCTGTAAATAAGCAGTTGTGTGGTTGTTTATTTCCATATCTTTTTTGTGAATAAGAGGTCAAAAGCAGTTCTTCAAACAATCTACTAAAGCATGTGATAAGTGTACTTATAACCTATCTACATATGCCATACATGTCCAACCGTTTCCGGTTATCTTAGGACTCACTTGGAGGACGTACCAAAACCTCAATAATTGCAACAATAAGCCCTGCTATGACTTCTTTGGAAGAAACCTTATCAACTCTAGACTATGCTCACAGAGCCAAAAACATTGAGAACCGACCTGAAATTAACGCGAGACTTAATAAAACTGATTTGGTGAAGGGCTATAACGAAGAGCTAGAGCGTTTACGTCGAGACCTTGAAGCTGCAAGAACGAAAAATGGTATTTTCGTAAATGAGGAGAACTATCAGATGTTGCAGTCTCAACTCGCCCAACAAAGAATTCGTATATGGTATGTCTATCTGTTTATTTGTTTGTTATGCGTAGTGGAGTTTCGTACTACACTGTTCACGTAATTGTTGAGAAGTACCTCGATTTGGTGGCACGGGTTATCACTAGAATATGCCAACTTACTGGCATTCTGCAAACCAACCAGTTAATTATGTGCATGTTGAGAACTAACCGACTGTAGCCGATATCTTGATGCAACGGTCGGACTTGGCTATTGTTACGACATAATCGAGCTATGTTGGGCAGGTCATTTGTTCCTTTAGACTCTACCGTTCCAGACAGGTCTGTTGAAAAACGGTAAAACTAGAAGTGACAACCTAAAATGTAAGGATAAATTCATTTTTCTGAGTGTATGGGAGTGTTATGATGTTGAGTTGTTTTCGTCAGGTAACCGGCATCTGCAGCGACACTATCTTATAATGGAAGGACGGTGTTAGGAAATGCCACCTTTTCATCTCTGGTGGTAAAGCTTTTGAAGTACGAAGGCAACACATTTAAAATTGCGCACGAGAAGATCGAGTGGGACTGCCCTTAGTCACTGCTACTTAATCTCATCATTCATAATTGTCGCCTAATTACAGCTAACTGTCAATTAAATTACATTCGACTGAATAAATTATATCGTGTTTCACTTTATTTTTTCTAATGACTAGGTAGGCTTAAACACTAATCCTAAAACTAACATCAGTTTAGACTGCATTGAATGTTAACCGACAAAAGAAGTAAGAAATAGTTATAAAATAATTTTCTAGCCTTTAGCTGAAATACCTGGTTACAAGAATATAAAGAAATATTGGTGACTAAAACGAGCGGTGGTAAAATGTTTCAATAAATCGAAGTCCACTCTACCTACTTCGGTCTGTTTCACTAGCTCTCACACCTAAAATGTGGCTCACACCCAAGTACTTGGTGAATTAATTAATAATGAACAGAATGACCTATTATTGAGATCTCTCTTATTACTCAGTGTTCTTCGGACACTACACCCGGTTAGTCCCCATATCAGAGCACGGTTAAATAGAAACGTAACTATATTTCAAATAAACTAGGTTAAATAGGAGTAAGAATCACAGTGACAAAAGTGGATTTATAATTTCACACGAGAAGATTTTAGTTTTCTCCAGTTATCCACTAGTCCTGATTGATTACTGAGTGGCCAATCAGCGTGCTTCAATACAATCCTGGACGGAACGTGCTTTTATCCAATAGCTTAGTATTTCGAAACCAAACACAAAAATCCGGAAAATGAATGGTATTAAATAGTAGTTCTCAACTATGCGATTACTTAAGTGACTTCTGAAATTTCTTAAAAAACGCCTTTCATAATGCGAGCAACCTGTAGGTATCACTGGTCAAAGGGAAATGTGGGGGTTAGCACGATATTGATTGGATAAAAGCACGTTCCGTCCAAGATTGTATTGAAGCACGAGCGACAGAGTGACATTTTGACACAACTGTCTAGTCCTTATCGCTTTGAATAGATATCAAACTGTGTATGTGTTGTCAGTCCTCATTTTCTTGATATTTTGAATTTCTGACATTTTAGTGAACTTGAAGAAAGACGAGAAATTTTGGAAGAGGAAATCGCTCAAGTTCAAGAATTGTTTACTGTTACTCAGGAAGAACTCAGTGAAACTCGGATGCGTAAGGAAGAAGTGGAGAATGAGTTAATTGCTTATGTAAAAGATTTAGTGAGTTTTTTTGTTTTTGCGGACCAGTAGATTAATAATTGCTGTGTAAATTCCTTCATTTATCGTGAAAGTCTTATCAACCCTGGTGAGTTGGGTCCTAACGAAACATTGACACGTATTCAAAAAGCTTTTGGCATCTTGCATCACTTATGATGTTATTTATTTATTTATTTAAACACATATATATTGGTACAAAAGGGCACCATGTACATATGCGCCACACAAAATAATGAAAGTAGGTAGATAAATGATGAAAAGATAAGGCGGGCTGAAATGTACAACCAGAAGATTCTTTCAGTTAGGAAAGTTAGAACCATTCTTTATGTAGAAAGTAAAAGAAGGTTGCAGCAGGATCGCCACTGGCTTCTATTCTGAGCCATATCCGATAACGTCTCTAGCCACTGTGTTGCACTATCTCTCGGACCCCAACCAGGGAGTCGTGAAGGACCAACGGAAGCTAGCCCTTTGCAGCTCTCTTCCATGCCACGACACCATGTCATACACTGACCTCCTCTCCGCTTTCTCCAACCAGTCCCAGGGTCGGCAAATAATGCACGACGCGGAAGTCTCTGGGACGACATTCGTAAAACATGTCCGAGCCACCGAAGTCGGTGTTTCAAGATGGTGACACCAATTGAATTATCGTCTCTGCGCCCGAACACACGATGCCGAACCTCTGCATTACTAACATGGTGTTGCCACTGGATGTCAGCAATCCTTCGGAGACAACGATGATCGAACACAGAGAGACGTCTAACATCCTCAACTCGGAGAGGCCAGGTTTCACAAGCATAGAGCAAAACTGCTCTCACCGACGCGTTGTAGATCCGACCTTTTACAGCCAGACTAACATCACGAAGGCGCCAAAGATGGCCCAGATTGGCATAAGCCGCTCTGGCTTTCATTATGCGTGCATCAATCTCATCACTCACGCCACCACCAGCACTTATATAGCTACCTAGATACACGAACTTCTCAACTACTTCGATCTCCTGACCATCCAGGGTGAGTACAGGATGAGAATCCTGCCAGTCTTGTAGAAGTACTTTGCACTTGGAGGGTGCAAAGCACATGCCGTACCTGCGGACACTGATTGCCAACTGATTAAGTGCTGATTGCATGTCTTGGGCATTATCGCACAGTAAGACAATATCATCTGCATACTCGAGGTCGAGAAGTCGTTCTCCAGGCAACATATCCACACCGCCATTACTTACATCCATCAGAGCTGTTTCTAGGATGTCGTCGATGGCAAAGTTGAAGAGGAATGGGGAGATCGGGCAACCCTGCCTGACCCCACTGCTCGAATGGAACAAGGGAGAAAGGTGGTTGTATGCCCTCACTCTGCCTGAGGTGTTCGTATACAGGGCCTTTAAGATGTTAATGAACTTCTCAGGCACACCCTTCTTCAATAGACAATCCCAGAGAACAGTCCTGTCCAACGAATCGAAGGCAGCCCTGATATCAAGAAACACTACGATTGTTGGCCTGCGATAAGTATGACGGTGTTCTAACATTTGGCGGAGGGTGAAGATGTGATCAATGCATCCTCGACCAGAACGAAAACCGGCCTTCTCCTCGCGAGTCAATCGTTCTCGGGTTTTAAACAACCTACGAAGAATGATAGAAGCCAATAGTTTGGACGCGATCGAAAGTAGACTTATCCCCCGATAGTTGCTACAGGAACAACGTGAACCCTTTTTAAAGATAGGGACGACTATTGACTCATTCCAAAATGTTGGAACACTTTCTTGCTCCCAAACCTTTCCAAACAACGCAGTCAGTTCCTTAGCCAGAAAGTCACCACCATCTTTAAAAAGAGCCGGAGGTAAGTCATCTGGGCCAGGTGATTTATAACGTTTCAAGAGTTGGAGTTCCTTGCGGACTTCCGCCTCGTTTGGTGGATCAGTCGTCACCGGCCATGGGGAGCAGGACAAGCTGGTTGATGTTGCCGGAGCAGCAGGCCAGTTGAACTGCCCTTCGAAAAATTCCGCCCATCGTCCAAGACGTCGACAGATGTTAGTGATTGGCATCCCGTCATCCTCGTAGATTGTTTCACTCACACCAGACTTCTTGCTGCCAGTGGCTCGGATGAGTTGGAAGAGCTTCCGGCAGTTACCAGATGCAGCTGCTGCTTCCATCTCATTAGCACGCTCCGACCACCAGGCTTCCCGGTCCTTACACAAGCTTTGCCCGATTTCATTACGTAACAGCCTTCGTTTGTGGTCAAACTCACGGTCACCCGGAGTAGACCGACGGGCTTCCATCAGTTGTAAGGAGCCAGAAGAAACCCAGTGCTTGTAAGCGGGACGTTTCGCGAAGCCGCAAGCGGCTTTACTCGCCATTTTCATGGCGTCATGAAGATGCAACCAATGCTTACCTATACTTTTCGGTGGGGTGGTAGCTAGCCTAGAGGCTAGCTCCGCTCGATACTTACTTGCAACAGAAGTTGCAGCCAGTTTACTAATATCAATCCGTTGGTGGTGGTCAATCCTTCGGCCACTGAAAAGTAAGGTGAGATTGGCGCAGACCAGGGCATGATCAGACTCCAGATAGGTACTCCAAAAGGAGCGGCAGTCTTGTACACAACCACGCCAGCGGTAGCTGATCGCGATGTGATCAATCTGAGTCCAGGCTTGGGATGCAGAGGGAGGACGCCAGGTGGCACACCGGCGATGACTGTGCCGGAAGTTAGTGCTGGCCAGAAACAGGTTGTGGTCTGTGCACAGTTGCAGCAAACGGTCCCCGTTATCTGTCCTGCGACCAACAAGTCCCCATCGGCCACCTAGACGACTCTCTTCTGTGCCTAGACGCCCGACCTGTGCATTCAAGTCTCCGGCTAGTACTACAATATCTGTCGAACGCGCTTTCTGGAGAAGAACTGTTAACTGATGGTAAAACTCATCCTTGATTGCATCCGGGCTGCAATCTGTCGGGGCATAGGCGGAGATGACGAAAAGACACCGTTTCTCACGCCGATTTCTTCTCACTTTGATGGAACTTTCTAATCTAACAGCACATAACCGACTGTTAATGGGGATCCAATCGATTAGTGCTGCCTCAGCTCTAGCGCTTAGTGCGACACCAACGCCAGCAAGACCAGACGAAGATGCCACAGGGTCCCCGGATAAGCGCACGTGGAACAAGCTTTTCGAGGCGACAGATGGAGAGCGGATTTGTAGTACTTCACTAGAGTCTTGAATACGGGTCTCGGATAGACAACAAACGTCAACATTAAGACCTTCCAAAGACATAGCCAGCCCTATCTGTTGTCTGATCTGCATTAGTGTGCGAACGTTGAAGGAAGCCAGCTTGAACGGCGTACGTGGTTTCAGAAAGACTGCCTCAGTATTCATAATCGGTGGAAGCATTCACTTTCAACCAGACAGTGACTGGAGATCGTTTAGATAGGACAGATTTTCCACCAAGAGCGAGCTGCTGCATAAGTTGAAGAGTAAGGTTACACAAATTGGGGATAAAAGGGGGTGAATTAGCGATATGGTAAGTAATAATAATAATAATAATAATAATAATAATAATAATAATAATAATAAAGGTAATAATAATAATAATGTTAATTGTTTTGCTTTTAGTATGACCAGGGATATCGTCAATAAAGTTCATAATTTCATTCATTTGTTTGTGTGTGGGCTGTGATACTGCCCGGGTGCCCAAACCGAAGCAGGTGGTTTTCTTAGGGGACCACACCCCGAGCCTTTGACCTAAAGGTCTGATCCACAAGGCAGTGGAGCATCGTGAGGAGATGCAGTCCCATGGTTGCCGTTGACCAACAGCAGGTTCTTCCGCCATTCGTTCCATCAGGATACTGGAGCCCATGTGCACCATTGGTTTGGAATCAGGGTTTTCCAACTCCCCTAGGTGGACCCTCCGTGTCCACCAATCCGGTTATAGCGCCGAACATTCGCTTTTCGTCCTCTCACTTTCGTAAACAACACCCCCGCCACGAGAAGGCAGTGAATAGGACTTCCCTGGCAGAGGCTATATATTCGCTGGCCATGTGAGAGCATTTCGAGAGAGAGAGTAGACTCTCCCCACTCTCGGCCGTACCAGGGCATTTGGGGGTGATGTAGGTAAGATGTTCGTCTGCTAGCCAAAAAGCGGGTGCCTTGAGCAGCAGTCTGCTCTGTATTATTTTATGACTCTATAACATGGCGTACGAAAGTAAAAGACATATAATCTGGTGTGTTTTGGAACAACTGTGGTAGAAATACTGAGAATTAGGTTTAATTATGAAGCCAGTATAGCGAATTTAGTAATGAGGTTACGAACCTTCATCGACAGCTGGGGTGTATTACATCCTCTAACCTTTTGGCTTAGTGACATCCCAAATGATAATGTGTGTGGAAGAAAACAAATCTAAAGATTTTATACTAACTTGAAACGATTTTCGTGTAGTTATCCTTCAACATATTTCCATTGTATTAGTTTAGAATGGATTTTGTTCACTGATTTTAAATGTGTGTACACTTGTATCAGCTACTCAGCATGAAGTTAGTAATCTGATTTCCAGTGCATTTTTTTACGTTGGCTAATTCATTGTAATTTTGTGTCCAATGATAATTCCTTAGCTTGGTAAATTTCTGCAACCAATATTCACTGAGTAATCGAATTAATGCAAATGTAAATTAATTATTCGTGATTCTATCAAGAAGAACATCTGTATAAACTTGGACTTCTCTCTCTAGCTACCCGGCAAGGGAGAAAACGATACAAACAGTCTCATTTATCGTATTGAAGTTGGAGCTGAGAATAGTCAGCTCATTACGCAGTCGTGTCACACACCTCGACTTGAAATGTTGGGTGATATAGGATTAATTCGGCAAAAATCTAAGGGCGGTCCATCCGAGGTGTTGGGTCAGTCCATGAAGCCCCCAACTTCTGGACTCATCCGTGTTAGCAAATTATGATTATTAGAAGTATTCAAATTGATTTGTTAACTAATAATTCCCGAAATAGTGCAATTTAAGGTGGGTAGAACTAGATAACCATATCTGGACGTATTATATATGGAATTCGTAATAAACACATCATCAAGTTATCTATTTATTTAAACACCAAATTTATGTGCGCCACACAAATCGAGTGGTTTGTATCAGGGCTGGAATACTGCCCGGGTGCCCAATTCGAAGCAGGTGGTTCTCTTAGAGGACGACTCCCCGAGTTTTTGAACTGGAGGTCTAATCCACAAAGCAGTGAAGTGATGCTAGGTGATTCAGTCCCTTGGAATCCGGTAATCAACAGTAGGTTCACACGCTATTCAGTCCTTCAGGATCCTGGAGCCTATATTCACCACTGGTTTGGAGTCGGGGTTTTCTAACTCCCTTGCGTAGATCCTTCATATCCACCGACCCAGTTAAAGCACCAGACATTTGCTTTTCGTTAACAATATCCCCGCCTGAAGAAGGCACTGTGTAGGACTTCCCTGGCAGTGGTTGTATACGTGTAGCCATGTGAGAGCATTTCAAAACGGAGAGTGGACTCGTCCCACCCTCAGCCGTACCACGGCATTTCGGGGTTAAGACAAGTACGGATGAATCATCAGTTAGTACAAATCCCATGCACATGTAAACTACCTATTAGGATTCGCGCGATAACTGTAATCAATGGCTCATATTTCACTCTTCTTCTTTCTCTAGATATTGACTTTTAATATTCTTTCATGCATGTCTTTTCATTTTATTTCCTCGAACCATATTCCCAAGGTTTGATCTTTCTCACTATCATTGGTATTACAGTTGTTTCAGTTCGTTGCGTTAATTTCTCCGTGCCGTATTGATGTCATTGACAACTTAAGCCGACGCACATTTGTGGAGCGGTGGCCCCAGCGCTGGAAGCATTCGACTACTTTTTAGGCAATAGTGTAGTACCGTTAGTCCCCACAATAAAAATAACTCATACTCAAGTACCTGGTAAAAGAGTTTGTTTGATTTTAGTAATAAACATTTGTCCCAGTCTATATGCGGTAACTAGGTGAATTTCTGTGTTACTTAAACTTTGATCTTGAGATAAAGAAGACTAAGAGATGGATGCAGTAAGTAAGCAGCTTTTATCCAACATGTACCTTTATCCTCACATGCGGTTGTGTGTCAGTTTATAAAGCCGTTCACCTAACCTATTTAACAGACTGTTAATTTAATCTAAAATGTCACCTATAAATATATCCTAATACAAAGAAGTACTTTCGATCAACCATCAGCCTATTCAATTACTAGCCTAAATGTTGGTTATTTACATCTCTTGATGATTCACTCTCATGTCCACACATCTGCTTGTCGAGCTGCATTCATTAATTTGTCTCGTTCTGCTCCTGTTAGTCGTTTGTTTTAATATGTACTTAGAATAAACTGTTGCCGCAACTTCGTTTTACCTTCAGAAAATCGTGCGCCGTTGGCAGTCATTGTAACAACTTAAGTCAGTTCTGAAAAGAGCAAGGACAAAGAATCTAGCAGAATAGCATGAATTTATTTTGGTTCTCATCAGCTGCTTAAAACTTATTTTTTATTTTATTTAAACACGTAAATATTGGTACAAAGGTGCACCAGATATATATGCACCACGCAAATCCCATTTGATTTGTGTGAGGGCTGTGATACTGCCCGGGTGCCCATACCTAAGCAGGTGGTTTTCTTAGGGGGCCACATTCGGAGCCTTTGACCTAAAGGTCTGATCCATAAGACAATGGTCGTGACTAAAATACAAATAGCTGTGACAAAGAATATATCGATTTGGTCTTCATGAGTTACTCCAACCCCACAGCCTACTTACGCGGCTTACCAAAAGAAATGAACTGGGATTCGCCTGCCAAATAGCATGAATTTATTTTATTTCGTTGGTTCTCGTCAACTGCTTACAAACTGTGATATTTAAAATCATAATTACATAATGGGTTTAAATTATTTACATGAAAGGGTTTAGTTAGAAGTTATATTGAAGACACATTAGTATATTGTAGAAAGGATGTAAATAAATTTAATACACTGAATATTGTAAATATATACCTTATGTAAAAGAAAATTCTATGACATTGATTGTGACAACAGTTCAAACGGCCGTTTGTCACAATCAATGTCATAGAATTTTCTTTTACATAAGGTATATATTTACAATATTCAGTGTATTAAATTTATTTACATCCTTTCTACAATATACTAATGTGTCTTCAATATAACTTCTAACTAAACCCTTTCATGTAAATAATTTAAATCCATTATGTAATTATGATTTTAAATATCACAGTTTGTAAGCAGTTGACGAGAACCAACGAAATAAAATAAATTCATGCTATTTGGCAGGCGAATCCCAGTTCATTTCTTTTGGTAAGCCGCGTAAGTAGGCTGTGGGGTTGGAGTAACTCATGAAGACCAAATCGATATATTCTTTGTCACAGCTATTTGCATTTTAGTCACGACCATTGTCTTTTAAATTAGCTTTCTGAAATGATGGAGGTGCACATACTTGAATTCAACACATGGAACATTATATTTTATCAACAAATGCTGAAAAATAACGTTTTCCACCACTTTTGTTACTGCACTTTCATAAAAGCTTTTATCTCCAACTTTTAGGAAAATCTGCGCGTGCGTTTTTTGAAATTAAAAAGGCGTTATGAAGAAACGGACTATTTACGCCAAGAACACAAGAAAACGGAATCGCGTCTTCATGAACAGGCAAGGTCATTATTATCAACAACTGATTCCGCCGTTGGTGATGTGAATGGTTTGCATCAAAAACTGGCTCGCTTATCTGACCTTGATAAAGAAAACCGTGAACGTTTGGATACATTGCACAATAACTGGTTGCCTGAGCGTCTAAGCCCAGTAGCACGTGACCTTCAAACACTTGCTACACAAGTGAAGGACTTCTGTGTATTTGTTCAGGATAGTACAAGTAAGAACATTGTGTACAACCACACATAAGTCCATCTATTTTAAATCGACCAAGTTATAAAAAATTTCACTGACTTTTAGAAGATATACAAACACTGTTGCCTTTCACTTTTGAAAGTGCCTGATGTTGCGTACTTATTTGACGTTCAGTACCTTAAGTTTGAATCAAGTTACATTTACTGTTGGGAACAAGAACATGATTGGGGAAAATCGAATGTATTTGACACGAAAATTACAGACTATCTCACTAAATTCTGATAACCATACAGTAAACAGTTAATTTGCAAAATAGCAATCAATTGTCTCAATCTTGACTGTTCCTTCTTCAAATATCAGTCCATAGTCTCCGATTATTATTGTTCATGTATTTTCACACCAATTGTGTCCCGTTTCCGTTCTCTCCTTATCGATTTTCTACTGAAATACATTCAATGCCCAACCATCGTTATATACTACTTGTGTGGATATAAGTAACCCACACCACATTACTGGTTCTGTCACTTTTCTGGTAACGCGATTGTTTGTTGGGATATTGTTAATGACCGCCATGCTAAATATGATATCAAAACTCAGCATTATCCAGCTATAAACTTGCTTTTTTTTCATCAGACTCACGTATCTTTTCGTTAAGCCTTGTTACTTCATTTGCTTATTCATAGTACACATAAAATTATCTTATATCAGAACATCAAGATAATCTACCACACATTAAAGAGGTAGAAGAGAGAGGGGTCATAAAAGCAGTAATTAATATGGACAAGACTATTATTTAATAGAAGATGCAATTTAGATCAAAATATGCTCAACAAAATTTTTCAGTTCAGGTGATTCACTCCACTTTCATGAATAATTTAATGGAAAACCATAGGAACGTCACTGGTCTCTGTTCAAAGCTATTTTCATCCAAAACTACTGAATTGTACAATTCTTCTAACCTTGACCAAAGAGTTGTTATGAACTAAGAGATACCAATTTTATACATCTATCATACCATCGCGTCATATAATAACCTAATCGTCTCTACCTTCCATGGATTCCCAGCTTTAATGTACATAAAACATGTCTAAGCTATCAAAGTCGATGTTCTTAAATGTCAAGAATTTACAAGCATAAAACAGCTGCTCTCGTGAACACATTTTAACCTCGACCTTTAACAATCAAACTGACATTACGATATTTTTATTTATTTTATTTATTTAATCACATACATATTGGTACAAAGGGCATCGGATACATATGCGCCACACAAAATAATAAGAATAGGAGGAGAAAGGGGGAAGATGCGTATATGTAAAAGAAGGAAAAAAAGAGAAGAGCAATGATGGGGGAACTGAAATGTACAACCAGAAGAACTCTCAGTTAAGAAAGTTATAACCACTCTTTATGAAGAAGAACGATAGCACCAAAGACAGTCTAGATTAGCACAAGTTTCCTTAGTTCCTACTTTATGTAGATTGATCTCACTTAAAATTTCATCACTAGCATTCACACAACTACCCAGATACATGATCATTTTAGTCGTTCTCCATAAAAGACACAGGTGACGTGAAGTCATCCAGGGGTACTATTCATTTTCAGAATGGGAGATGTATCATATGCTTACGGATACTGCTAACTGGTTAGGTGTGACTTCGATAGTCTGTGTGTCATCTTACTGTAAGACTCTGTCAGCTTATTCAATACAAACAATGGTTTGTTCTTGTTCTGAACACTGAATCTGATTTGGCTGCATGATAGATTTTAGTGAAAGAAAAAGACATATACAGAGGATTCTCTTGTAAAAACTTGGTATTTTAAATTGAATTTTCTTCCTGTCACTACTGCTGTGTAATACAAAACTGTTACACAAATGAAATACTTTGAGAACAGTATCCATAGATTTCGACCAGAGTTCCAGTATCAATTATTCTTAGAAATAAATTGACAGCTTAAATGTCTTAGATTACTTTATAGGGTTATAAAAATGTGATTTTACTGAAATCATCAAGTGACTGTGAAAGACGTTCTTGTGATTTCTGACTGATTGATTGGATAATATCACTCTCCTCATGAAGAAGGTGTTCCAATTCTAAGTATGAAAATTGTTTACTACATCATTCTGTCAGGTAACTGTTAATCCTCAACATTAGCTGTCAACAAATAAACAACCACTTAAGGATGAATACTACAGAAATTCTTACTAGTTTTTGTGAATAGTCAATTCAAATCCTTGAACTGCTACAAAATCAATATCTAATATTGTAATTAAATGTTTCTCAATGATCACCGACGTGTTTGATCATCCTGTCATAAACAACCATATCTTGTTATGATCAAGCCACTACTATTTGTAGTTTATGGAACGGGCTTGTAAATTTATAGCTAATGGTTCGATTGTTTAAACTACTTTAAAATATGCCTTACATACTTGAAAATACTTATGTGTCGTCTCTAGTTTATTTTCATGCCCAACAAATTAATATTTCAGTATTTAGTCTAAATTTTCACATTAGTTTGTCTTCTAATATATTTCTTTTCAGGTGATTTGAAGGAAAAAGTCATGATATCTACTTGTAATGCAGTCAGGGTGCAACGAGAAATGGTACAAAAACTACGAACTTTCCTAGCCAATGAGTGTATCACCTCTGCCAACCAAATTAACAAGTTCGCTGAAGAACAGACTACTAAAGTGAAGACTGGTCGTGATACCATCATAGTTCCACAGTTTGAATGTCTGCAGAAACTTGTTACATCTCTGTCTACTAGTGCAGATGAACTAGACAGGTGTTTGCTCAATCAGGTATGTACTCCTGCATTCTGTTGCACACACGTCTCGTTATCAATATATATCAGTATAATTAATACAGATTTTTAAAGGCACAATTTTAAGTTCAGTTCATATAACTTGCTCTACATGTTATTAATTTGCTAAGTGGTGTCATTGTTTTTTCACTTTCTCGAACGACAAACTGTTGTAACCAGATTTATGTTGGTTCTCTTAATGTAATCAGAGAGGAGTCTCTCAGACTCTACAATTTATGATGTAAACTGCAAATTTACTTGTTTTCAAAACATTAATTTCCTACTTATATTTGCTTTTTCCGTACAGTTTGAGGCTTACCAAATATCAAATAAGGAATTGGATTATGCTATCAAGCAACTAGATAATTTCGCTTCATTGTCCTCTGGTTTTGTGCATGATGAAATGAAACATGATATGGCTATACAAAATCAAATGGCTTCTTATAGAACACAGTATGGAAAACTGCTTAATGTAAGTAGCAACATATGTATGTTGTTTCGTAAATTCACATGGTCGTATGTAGATTTATGGCGTTTTTGAGTAATAAGATCTGTTTGGTATATGTAGAACTACATAATTACAGTATAAGATATCTACGTAAATTTTCACTGAGTTAATTTTTGATTTCATTGATGATAGGTTGTACTTGTAAATATATTGAGTCACTTTCCAGTGCTGTCATACTGCTGAATACACTATTTAATCGTGTTGTACGAACAGTCCCATTGGTTTAAACTGAATTTCTGTACATAAATATTTTAGTTAATAATTATTCTAAATATAGTACTAATAAGATCTCTATCAAGCTATTAGTATGCAGTGTGCTTTGTGTACACCACTTCAATAATCAGTTTGTAGGCTAACTGTATTATTGAATAACTAGATGGACAATGCTCATGTTAACAGAGGTTTAATTAATGAAATTGATAGAGTTGTGAATAGTTTAAAACTGTTTCATTCTCAGAAAATATTGCCTTCGCCAATTCGCTTAATTAAAAAATCTAGGAGCATTCGGGAGATATAAATTAATCTGTGGTTTCTTTCTCCAGATATCTTGTAATAAAAAAAATCAACAGCCAGGGGTTTTATCATTTTCTAAACATTTTATTATCTCACTTGTTGTTTTGTAGCAAGTTAAACTGGTTCATTATAGTACCAAAGTTCACATTTTTATTCACAGTATTTGTTTTGTTTCTAAAAGTTAACTTATTCAAATTTTGACATTTTAGGAATTAGAATCGACAACTAACAAGTTGAAAAATTTGATGGCAAGCCATGATACAGTAAGCTTATTTATTAATTTTTAACTATCTTCTATTCTCATGTTTTATAATATGTCAAATTCTTGACGTGGCTTCATGCAGACTTTTTAACAAATTCTCACTTTATACTTCTTATGTAGTGAATGAGAACACGGGTGGGAACAATCGAACGTGTTTAAGCACAAATTAAAGACCATCTCACTAAATTCTGATAACCATACAGCAAACAGTTAATTTGCATAATAACAATCAATTGTCTCAATCTTCACTGCTCCTTCTGTAAATATCAGTTCATCTTCTCTAATTCTATTGTTCATGCATTTTTCTACCAATTGTGCTTCATTTCAGTTCTTTCCCTATCGGTCTTCTGCCAAAATACATTCTATGTCTGACCATCGCCATATACTACTTATATGGATATATGTATGCCACACCACACTTAAATTTTAGCTTTTGAATAATTTCATTTCAGCAAACTTGGGCACTTTTTCAGTCCTCAAATACTATATCCAACTTTTATGCTTCACTTCTCTAACGCTATTGTAAGTATATAATTACCATCGAAAGCAATAGTTTTGATTCCTAATATACCGTGATATTTCCCTCTTGTTTTTGAGTCAACAGGAAACATCAGCTTGTTGTTCAATATTCTTCCTTTGATTCTATAACATGTCGAAGCTAATACCAACTGGATAATCAATTCCTCTTTTCATATACGTAATCACATTTAAGTTGTTTCGACAACTACTGGTTTGGTAACGTTGAAAATAGATCACTTTATTACTCTACTATATCTTGTTTTTTAAGCTTGTACCAACATTTCAACATGTGAATACTTCGTTATCAGTTAAAAACGTCAATCCCGTTGACAATTTATGTTTTAAAATAGAGGAAGGACAGATTATTTGACTCTATACTCTGATATACATATCAGCAAAATGGTCCATTCCGTTTAAAACATCAAAATGACAGAGCATTGTCATAATATATATAGTTTTCCATGAGGGTCGACCCTCATTTTTCAAGCCATTGGTTTTCAGATCATTAATTTTCAAACACTTATAATAATACTTTTTCTTTATATTAGCAAATTTCAGGTGAACTATCATCAAGATTTTCTCGTCTAACAGAATTCTCAAGATCAAGTCAGAGTGAAGTTGAAAAATTGAAATCGTCCCTGTCCAATAAACAGGAAAAAATCTTACATGATGTTTGTAAAGCCCACGATTCCAATATGATTTCCATTAATCGTTTAAAGGAGGTTACGAATACCGTTTCACATAACCACGAAAAACTAAAAGGAGAAGTGGAAAATTGTATGAATAATGTATGCGAGAGCGTTGAACAATTTGTTGCTGATGGTCCTGGTGCAGATTTATTGAAAAAAGCTTCAATCTGGCAGTCGGTTAACGAAAACCATAGTGATTATAGTTTATTTGATCATACGACAAAGATGATACACAACATGAGTAATAATCTTTTCACTTCTCTCCAAGAACCCACTCGTATTCTTCTGGGCCTAGAAGGTGCAGGCAGTGATCGTAGTATTGAGGTAAGTTTCGAAGTACTTTCGCGTTATTGTTAGTCATAATAAAATGTTTCCTTGCTCTTCATCATGTCTTTTTATATCTTCATTAAATTTCAAGTTCAGTGAAAGTTTCCAAGCAATTGGGACAAATTTGTTTGCTATGCCAAATGAAATGGAAAATATATTGAATAGGAGATATCATACTTATGTTCCAACGGGGGAAACACCTCAATCCCGAAAGTTTTCCTATCCAACGGAATTCGCTAAAACAGCCCCTTATCATCGCATATTAAAGGAGTATCGTTCTAATAGAACAATTGAAGATATTAATAATTTAGCTACAATTCCTATTCCAGACGAAGATCTGTCATTTGCTGTTGATTGCAATGAGTCTACATTTATTGAAGATCAGATTACAACTCTTCAACCTGAGCTTAATAAAGATAACTATGATTGTACCTCAGTTTCTACAAATGGACCGGTAAGTTGTCAAATGTTTTCCGACTTCATTTTCAATAAATTGACTTATTTTATATCTTTTTAGCAGTCTGTTTTCAACTAAACTAACAAGTTTTTCTTCACAGCAGTCTACATCATATTAAATCATTCAGTGAAATTGATTGTTTCTGATAGTTATGCTTATACTTTGCCAAATTGCTATGAACGGCCCATCATTCGAATCTCCATAGGAATTGAATACTGTAACTCAGAAAACCAACAAACATTACTGTGGAAACAGTTACACTTTAGGATATTGAGTCATCTAGCCGATAAACTTTCACGACAACAAAACTTCCATCCTGGATCCTATTAACATCTATTACCAGAATAACCTTTATTAAATTACTTTGTTAATCTTTCATTGATCATTTTAATCACACTAATTGTTTCCAATTTTAGGATTCTGGGATTGTTTCTGAGCCTAATGGTGTAAAAGGAAAGGTCAGTTCCCGTCTTTATTTGAATCTTATTTAATTGGGGTGGAATAATGTGAATTCACTTTCTTTTGTGGTTTCTCCTCGGCTCCTTACAAACACATTGTTATTTAAATACTATGCAGTAGACATTAGTAACTAAAATATTAAAATGACGATTGCCATTATAGTATTATCTATCTATATAATGAATAAGAAGTGCAAAGTAGACTAAAAATGGAAATGGACGAAGTAGAGTGCTAAGACAATATTTAACAAGAATCTGAAAAAGATTATATTAGATTGCGTAGAAATTACTGGAAATTTGAATATTGTACACAGGTTTAAGAATTCGTTAAGTGAAAATATAATTTTAAAATAAATAAAATAACAATTGTGCAGAAAATATAAAAACTATCAATTTATCATAGTATTTATAAACTAAGAATTGACTCTTTCTGAGTTTTTTAATAATAGCCACTTCAGTGAAATATAAAGTGGTTGCATTTTTGTCCGTTTGATAATTTCAAAAGACTTATGAATGTCAGTAATATTGCTCTCTATAGATTGTGTTGAGCCATTGGACTATTCAGAGTTGCGACAGCTTTCAATCTCAAATATCTTGAGATGCAAACATGCACTGTTCTCTCTACCCTTTCGGTGTATATGCTTTGACACGTGTATGAGAATCAATCAATAATATCTTGTAAAAAGTTACTCACTTAACACTTGTGTAAATTGTTGCTCTTTAAGTATACCAAAGAATCTTTGCAATTTAATATATTTAGCTTTTTAAAATTTTGTTTTTGCAACAAAATCACATAGATGAGCAGATACTCTGATGAATAACTTAAGGGATTCAATCAGTAAAGCTTCATTAAGACAAATGTATTACTATATCCTGTGGGCCCGGTTGTTGCCGCTACCTTAACGTACGTGGTGGTTGGGCTCGCCTATTGTGATGCACCAATCAGACTATACTGCCAGTAACAATCGTTCTTTGAGGTCATACCATACCATGCAGGTCGGTTGAAAAAGTCCAAATTTAAGGTCTAAGAGCGAAGTCGTACTGCTTACTGTTCAAAGGTGTGACAGCAGTAAAGTGTTTCCCCTAAACAGCTAGCTTGGCAGTAATGTTGCCTTCTCTCAAAGGAGGGGTGGGGTTAGGAAAGGTCGACCCTAAAAATGTACACCTCGCCTTATCCCACGGATCTCCGTCTCCTGAGGTAAGGTCTCAACAAAGACGAAGCTAACACGAACTACCCACAAAATAGTCGTGTGTGACCGACCTCAAACAGTTGTCCTTTGGGCACTGTGGTCATTCTATCATGTCACTAAGACCAGCTCTAACTCGATTTCCTTTCCAGCGATGAGTAAGCCGAAGGTAAATTCCAGGCACAACTGAGATCACACGTAGGCAATTGGGGAAACAAGGCTGACTCAGATGTTTGAAAAGATATACAAGCAGTTGTGAAAACAGCAGTGACATCTGTTAGTGGTTTTGACTAAAGAACCTACAGAGACTGTCAACAAATCATAGAGAAGTTTAGTGTTGTGGTGCTTCTCAGTATGCAAGAGACATCCAAACAATCTGTATTCACAAAATGTTCTAAAAACTACTGTAGATCGTCTCATCATTAGTGAGTATAAGTTCTAAGTATCCATCCTTCATTTTTCTTCTCACTTCGTTATATTTTTTTACGTTCTGTTTATAACCCTATATTTAGACTGTCACTCAACAACTGCAAACCTCCATACACGATAGTGAAAAGCCAACAAAAGTTGTTAATTCGCTTGGCAAATGTAAAAATAACCTAAAAGTATCTGGTAAAAATCAACGCTCTAAACGGTGAAATACCCGGTGATACGAAAACTCCTTTTATTTGTTTTCATACTAAGCTTTTGAATACGGTATATTTTACTCATTTTTTAATATCCCTGTACATTTTTTGATTATCTCTGTTACTAATAAGTATCGATTTATTCTATAACATTAATTGTTTCATTCAAATATAATTTTCGGTCTTCAATAAAATTTGTTGAAATTAAATGTGTAATCATTTCCCTCTTTAATGACTGAAGTCGGGTTTCGTGTACGCACTCTTATTTTACGTAACTACTGGATTTCGAATCCTGGAATTGTTAAACTCCCTAATATTTCTGTGATCTCCCGAATTGACATCAAAAAACACTTTAATTCCTGAGAAAGACTGGCTATACTTCATTCACGTTAAAATTTATGGCCGTTAGAAATCAATGTTGGAGATAAAAATTCGCCAGGGCTACTGAACATATCTCACTTAATCAAAAAGAAGTGGTGCATTTTCCGTTAGTCAAAACAAACTTCGTCTTTGTTTCAAATAATTGCTTTAATAGAATAATTAGGCACGATCTCTACAACTCTATACTGATAATTACATGTGCCCACCAGTGGCTAGGTTCGAGAGATTCTTATCCAAGTTCTTGTAAGAAGACGGGGCCAGTGGAACTAATCCGTATCGGGTGTAAGGCATTACCTCACCGAAAACATCCGAAGATGGTCGCGCAATATCGTGGATTGGTTGAAGTTAGACATTAACACCACTAGACGCCGACTCAGTGGTCTAGAGGTTAAGTGTTCACTTGAGACCGAAAGTCCTGGGTCCGAATCCCGCATGCAGAATTATGAATGCGCATTGCTTGGAAGCTTCCAGGTTTCTAATGGTGGTCTAACATTGGTCGGTTCATGGTCTCAAAACAATTTATGCGCCGTTACATTATTATAATCCGGTAGTGCACATCCTTGATCATAGATCTTCCTAATATATGCATTATTGCGATTTCCCATCCTAAAAGTATGTTTTCCCTTATGGGATAAATTGTTAGGTGTCATCAAACCAATGGACTTTTTTCCTAACTCTGATAGTTTTAGTTTACAGGTTCCGTGAAAGTTAGCTTTTGTGATCTATTTATGTCGACACAGCGTGACACCTGGAGGGTCAATGATACACATTGTTGCTTGCGTTCTTATCATTGCTTTAGCCACCCCTGACAATATATTGACTGTATCGCCCAGTCTGAGCAATATATCATTTGTCTAGATAACTCCACACTATTCAATCTCTTCGCTCGATACAATCTAATGACGGTGTAAAGTAGATACGATTCGGTGGCACTAGACTTTTCATCATTCACAACATTACTGCTCTGGATCTTTGAAGTTCTTACTAACAGTTCGTATGAGTATTTTTAATAATATGAATCCCGAGTATTGTCTTTGAGTCTCCCCAGAATACATCTTTTGCGACAAAGTGAAGACATAAACTTATTTGTTTACATTCTACTCAGGTTTATCCACCCAGCATAACATCTCGCTGTGTGTATCCAATCCAGCACTTGCATCAGCATCTGAACAAACTTTGACAAGAGACTAATCGTCAGAATATACGACAAATAACTAATTTAATTGCCCATCTTTATAATTTTTCGTTCTCGACCATACGGTCAATTCCCACTAACTGGTCACGTACAGCCTGTAAGCCCTGTGAGATTAACAGTTTTCGTAATTATTTGCTTAGTGTATATAGACATTCTGAGATGTAATCATTGTGCTGTAACTTTTTGCTGCCATGACGGTAAATTGGTTCGTGTACACAGAAAGAACTACATAAAGTTTACTGTGTGTTTGTAAAGTACTATGCTCATCAAAACTAACGTTCTGTAAGTAGGCTCCTAACTAGATACTAAATGTTTATTATGGGTTTGAAGTTGCTCTGTGAACGGTGCCATACATCCGTACGAAAGCGCGAATTGAGTCGGTAATGCTGAAAAGTGATGCTTGTACAATTGAACTGTTTGTAGGAATGTTTATATCCGTCCAAAACGACGCAGTTACCCGTAGCAGTGTGAAATGATTTATATCGGGTTCGCCTTAACCAATAATCCCTGATGTTGCAGAAACTGATCCTAAACGTCTGTATGGAAGCACAAAAAAGGATAGCTTCAAGCCGAAAGTCGGTTCATAAGGCAGGAGGGCACCAAACCATTGTATGGAGCCTGGCAACCCACAAATCATGCTCTGCTATTCTAGCTATCGAGAATTATTCAACTATTATTCCGACCAACTTAAAAAGCTAGGAAGCACACCATAACATAAATATCTAGTCCCACATTATGACTAGATTCTATCAACTCATGCCATGCAAAATTTAGGCTAGTTCATCCAATCAATAAAGTTTGTTATACATACCTGTGACTGAACGTAACTAACGACTAGTACTTTTTTGAAAATCAATTCTGCAAATCCTATCGGGGGGGGGGTAAATGCAGAATAATTCTAGGTATATTGGCTTTTTAGAGGTTTCTTGGTTAACCGACGAATTTCTGAGCGACGAAAATTAGACTACTACCAAACAACAATTGCCATTTGAGATGATAGCAGTTATCGTGAGACTGATACGCTCGAATATACAACTTACTTTTAGTACATCCCTAAAAAGATGTTAAGACACTTCAGATGACTACTACTCTACGACTATCGAACCAAGTTCTTATATGATTAGATCGTCAGTCTCGAGGATGAGTACTCTGACTTGTCCACAAGACATGTTAATATTTCACATGCCTAAACGACATACATTGATCATATCCATTAAAGATTTAGACCTTCATCACAATCAGTTTGACAAAAAGTAATCTGCAATCAATGACAAAGGAAATATATAGGCCATCAATATATATTTAAGCTAGATTAACGGTATGATTTCTGGTATCTTGCACGAGCTCCGGAGCCACCAAACTTCTTTGGTTCACACCTTCTTGGATCAGCAACTAACAAGCTTCTATCATACTGAACGAACTTCTCCTTAATCATATTTTTCGAACATTCATCAACGTATTTTTGATGAAATGCTACCACTGACTTAGCAATAGCTTGCCTGACAGCATATATCTGAGCCACTCGACCACCACCACTGACCCGAACTCTGATGTCCAAGTTAGATAATCCGTGTTTTCCAAGTAGTAAGATGGGCTCCATTAGTTTGGGCAACAAGGGACGTGGTTCCAGTACATCTAATGGTCTGCCGTTCACTCTGATGGTTCCGGATCCCAGTTTACAGTGAGCGACAGCTGTTGCTGTTTTCTATAACGCATGAGAAGCCTAAATATAGAGATTACCTTCCGTCCAAATACTTGTACGGCCTTGGGTTTCTCTTTCGGTTGGTTGCATACAGTCTGCATTATAATGCCTACGGAACGTGAAAAATCTGCAAGACGCGCCTTGAGACTAACTGTTATGTACTGTACCACATGTACAGTGCTCAATGAATTTTCTATAATCCTATAAGGATTCAACATGAAATAAATGATTTTCAACAAGACGTAAATTCTCATTCAAAAACACAAGTATATGGAATGTACAGAAGCTAGAGATAGTATAATTTTTCATTGAAAGCCCTTACGGCTCTCTCTTCGGATAATTAGTTTTGAATTTTCAAGCTCATTTATTCTTTCCTATGGTCGCATTTATTATTTTCCCCGAAAAATATCTCTTTGTTTCTTCTTTGTGTTCTGGATATCAATCTTTTTCTATTCTGCTACCTCCGAATTCATAGATATTCTGCCTACATATTTTTAGTCTCAGAATTTTCAAATGGTATTCCAAAGACTGTCACAGGTTTAGTATGCTATTTAAATTCGAGCAAGCTAAGATAGAAACAGATACATTTGATTGCATTATGCTACTAGAATGTCTATTCCTCTGGTGGATATTGTGACTATAGAATCCCCCAGAAGTTAAGACTTATGTATATCTCAGTTTTTAAGTAGTGGCAAACTATGTATCGTCCAGTTATACGTTTTTAAGGCCTTATTCGGAAGTGAAGTTCAGGTGTCATGAAATCAAAATGACCTTTGAGTAAAGAGATTATCGCTGCTCAATGAATTCAGTTGTGTATGATTGAAAGTAGAAAGTTGTCAACAGTGCTAATTTGAGGTAATTATAGGTAAGCCTTATCGATGGTGAGATACTTTTATCTTTCTGTCCTTATCTATAGATTATATACTGTTTTTTACCCTAGATGGTCACGTCATAATAATTATGGTGGCCAGTGATCTATAGACAGTTTAAACAAACTATTTGATTAGTGTTGACAATCCAATCAGTTGTTGCTGATCGGTGTGGCTCTTAATTAATATATTTTTGGCCTGTGCACAGTTGTATAATTCTTTCTGTATCTATCCTACAGTCACTGCCGTATACAAGTCCGGATATATGATGAAGGCCGGGCACCGTAAAAATAGGCTTGTTAAAAAGACTAACCGAAAAAGTCTCTGAAACTCAGTATGAAGACATTTCTGCTCACGAACAGAGGTGCTATGATACCTTATGGTCGCACCCAAGATTTGCCAGAGGTCGCGTGGCCACCCCTTTCTTGCAACCTGATACACCCAAGCGAATGGTAGACGTATGATAACTGTTTGTAACTATTTATGGACTACTGTTGTATATATTTTTAGTGAACAGCCATTAAGTAACTAGATTACACATATCTTTCTAGTTCTATTATCACCAGCCTTCATTTGACCTCCTAGCTACCGTAACTTTATTTGTCGTCCCCAATTTATTAATTACGGTCCCTCATACGTACATCCAGTTTGGGCTTGATCCTGTGTAATTAATATTTTTCCTTAAGTGGTGTGATGTGGTCTAGTCTTCTTATTTACAGACAATGTACATCTGAAATATAGAACTGATACAGCGGATACCGAAGCTGGTGTTACGGACTGAATGAGCTGAGCTAGGAGGAAAGCTACTATACAGAGGACCAATAAGGGTTCAGAGGTGATTCAAGGCCGTTATTGCTGGATGATGTTTATTAGTTTAGCATAGGGACAGGGTCATAAAGGTTGGTTTTATGATCGATAATTTTGTTACATGAAATTTGACGGGCCTTGGGACATGACACAAACACAGCAACATCTAACGTATGTATATTGAATATCCGAACAATGTGAGAGACCAGGAGGGCCGTTTAAACATGCACAGAAATAAGAGAATGCAACCTGAATATCCTTATAACAGAGAAAACCCAGTGGACACGTGGTACACATAAAGAACTTGCACTGGGAGAGCTGATATTTTATTGTGTTCATGAAAAAGTGTTTACTGAACACAAAGAAATGCACTGATGCCGATCATACTGTAGTGGATGTCGAGTCGAAGACGGACTACGATCACCACTACAATTCGTTTACGCGCCCAAAAACGACTTGGTTCCTTTGATAGCTCGTAAATCAGAAGACTTTATTAATCCAGATCAATTATATTTATTGGTGATCTCGTGGTATCGAAATAATACCGAGACGTGCCAAAGAGTACAGGCGAACAGGCAGTGCGTGAGCAAGTTCGAACCAAACAAGGCGGAGAGCGAAAGCAGAAGTGAAACTGATACAGTTAAACAAATACAGTAAAACAATCTCTGGTACAATTGGTTACAATAATAATAATTGTTTCCGTTATTCCAATCGTGTTCTTATCGAGACTGGCCGGTCACTACAGGAGCCCCCCGCTAGAAAGGGTTTACACTTTCGATACGTAGCGGTTTGGTTCGTGAGACTGATCGCGAAAGCTGGCCTGATCACCCACGCTCTAGTCAACGCACTCAGTCGATCTCTCTGGCTCCAAATACGTATGATATACATTTGGTCCCGAACATGGTTATCCTGGTCGCATCTGGTTCCTTGGCTCAATCTGGTTTCGTCCTACGTCTGCAGCGTTTCTGGTCCGGACCTCTACGAACGCAACCTTCAGATTCTGGATACAAACCACTCTGGTGTAGCATGCTAATCCAAGCAATCAATACAGCACGTTCCTTCTGGTACCGTTCTACGTCAAAGACTTTTGGTGGCAACTCGAGGATCAACGATCACTCCCTGTTCTGCCAACGTCTTCGTCATACAATTGCACGTTTCGCGATCAGTCCCACGAATGAAACCGCTACGTATCGAAAGTGTAAACCCTTTCTAGCGGGGGGCTCCTGTAGTGACCGGCCAGTCTCGATAAGAACACGATTGGAATAACGGAAACAATTATTATTATTGTAACCAATTGTACCAGAGATTGTTTTACTGTATTTGTTTAACTGTATCCGTTTCACTTCTTCTTCCATATACCGCCTGGTTTGGTTCGAGCTTGCTCACGCACTGCTTGTTCGCTTGTACTCTTTGGCACGTCTCGGTATTATTTCGATACCACGAGATCGCCAATAATTATACTTGATCTGGACTAGTAAAGCCTTCTGATTTACGGGCTATCAAGGGAACCAAGTCATATTTGTACGCGTAATCGAATAGTAGTGGTGATCATAGTCCGCCCACGACTCGAAATCCACTACAATACAATCACGAAAAGCGCCTGGATGATGAAGAACCTATTGCTGAAATTTTCTTAAAGCTTGTTTCAAAACAAATAGATAAGAGTTTACATCGAACGCTACCCGGTGCTACACACTCAACAAAGATAGCAGCAAAGATGATTTAAACCAGTTTTATGAGAGTCTGCGAGCCATTCTAGAGACATCCCAGATTAAAAAAACCTGACCATTTTGACAGGCGATCTGAACCCCGAAGCAGCTTAGAAAGCCACTGGTTATAAAGACATCATGGGCTAAATTAACAGAAGGACAACGGATAGAAACTCATGAATATGTGTGTTTTGAACAACAGGGTATTGTGTTGCACCAGCTTCCCCCATAAACACATGAGCATGTTTACATAGGCTTCATCAAACCATCCTACTGCGAACCAGATAGATTACAGCTGCATAATAAAAACGCAGAAGATCGATCAAAGGCCTGAAACAAAAAGGGATCCGACAAAGCTTCAGATCAATAACCTTGGTGGGAAAAGGTAAACGTAAGTTAAATCATTGCTGGGAAGCTGTTGAAACATCAACAAAGAAATTTTGTGCAGCCTTCCTTGGAGATGTTGACAAGCTTTACGAATTTAAGATTCCTCTTAGTGACGAGTCCAAAGCCCTCCGAGGTCTAATATAAGAAGAGAAGGTTAGTGGGGAAAACAACTGCAAAATAATTTGACAGCCACTTACCTTACCATTCCATGAGGTGCTGGACACCGAGAATTATAATCATAATTAATGCATCCCTGTAGATATTCTAGGCAAGATCCAAGAGATCTAGAACACGAAAACAATAGTCAACAACAGCCAAACATGAGATAAGACACAAGCCCAACTGGCAGAAGTTAACAAACGAGTAAAAATAAGTGATAAAGTTGACAGTAAGAAATTTGTAAAAGATACGGCAAGAACAGTAGAAACTCCAGGAAGAAATATGATGAGCTTTGTAACATAACCAAAAACCTTGAGGGAAAATACAGTAGGCCGAAGTGATTGGTCGAAACAAGAAATACAGATAAATATCTGTTGTCCAGTAGCGGCGAAATAACTGAGTAAAACACGGAACTCACCTGATACAGAAGCAGTACACTTTGGTTGTGAATTGAAGCACTTTCCCAGAATTGGAAACCCTTTGTGTTATAAAGCGACAAATATTTATCTTATGAGCGAATTTTTAATTGATATATCCAGAAAGGATAGAATAACACTTATTTTTGCTCGATCATTGTGGGAACAATTATTGGTTGAATATCTGAGTGGTAATATTTGTTTAGAACTGTTGTTACCGCAATCACTTTGTTCTGATTTTCATTACAGTCCACGCGTCTCTACTTAAATAGACAGTTATTCTTCAGCCAAACTTAGTTTGAAATATACAGGATATTTTAATAAGCTGGAGAACTACAGTAGTGTCTAACTTCGGTCTGCTTCAGGTAAAGTACTTAACACTGTTTGTTAACTGAAAGACAGTAGATTAGCAATAACTCACTGTTAAATGGCAGTTTGTTGTATAAGTCATGCCAGTCTACGATTCGAAAGGGCCATATTTTAAGATCATGTATATTTCTAAGATGCACCAAGAAATGGACAGTGTTTAGTTACACAGATGGCTCTCTTCATAGCGATTAAAACAGATTTTACCTCACCATTATAACTTTTATAGATTTATTTGTGAACCCCTATTTAGCGTAATTGTCCGGTTTAACTTTTAATAGGATTCTTCGGTAAGGAGTGAAACCAGTTCAAGATTAAAAGCAATAGTCCAAGTGGTATTTGTCAAAGGAAATCAACACTAATCCGATTGGTGATTCACGCCTCACTGAAATTCAAGAAACAGCAAATTATTAAAATTTTCCGTCCTGAAAACGCGAGTGCATTAAGGTTATCTCCCCACCATCACGTCTTCTAGATAGGAACACCACTCTCCCTCTTTTTTGTGATGTTACGC